TCGGAATTGTTTCTGGTAATACGCCGCAACTTTTACCTTTTGACGCTCAAAACTTTGAAGATTCGGCTTCAAGTAATACCCAATTGGTTCCAAGCTCATCGACGGATTTACAAAATCAAGGCCAAGGCCAAGAGATCTCCCTTAACAAAAGCAGAAATCACACACAAAATATGCGGTCGCCTTATCGAAACAATTCCGACCCCAAAGACGCGATATCTATTCCTTTGGACAGTATGCTCGATGTTTGCGTCAAGCTAGAAAAAACACATTCTTTTTCTCCGGTTTTCAGAAATAGCTTAAACTCCTCTTCTGGCACTCGCAATCAAGAAGTGTTAAGCACAGGTCAATCTTCAAAAGTTGGTAGCACCAAAATGGCTCTTTGCAGCAATTTTGAACTTGGCGGTGATAACGGCACTCCGTATCACAAAAGCATGTCGGATCGCACATGCACCGTCTTACCTCCCTCCAATCCCTTGGAATATATGTTTTATTTGGATTGGATAAAATGTCAATCCGATCTAGCCTCGCTGACCGAAACCTACCAAAGAATCTCTACATTTCTACATGAAACTAATTTCCAGATCATCGAAAAACAAAAGGAACTTCAGAATTGTCTGTCCAAAATGATTTCCTCACATAGCAGCATGTTTTCTGCCAATCAGTTTTCCTCTCCTCATCAATCGCACGAGATACTCCTCCATACTTGTGACCAAAATGATATTCCCATAACCCCGCGACATCTTGTATCTGAATTACCAAAGAAAAGCCAGACATCTGGTACATCACCCACTCAAAGTTTTGGCATGCCGAGTCAAGCTTTTGGGGGAAACAGCCCAGTGTCCAATATGGCAGATCAAGTGTCCAGTCACATAGAATCTATTTTTGGCACGTATGGCTCAGATTCCAGCTTCGCGGAAACCCCTGTGCTAAAAGCATCCCCGAAGGCCTGTATCAATCATCATCAGCTGAGCTATTTTCATATGATGACTTCTGGAAAGCCCAGGTATTTAGTTTTGAATGAGACATCTGGAGACTCCCTATTGGAAGACACTCTCATTGCCTGTGATATTCATGGTGAGTTTCAGACCTTTTCTCGCAAAGACAGAAGGTACTGACGGATAACTTTATTTGTAGAAAAGTATCAAACTATCCCCCTTTTATCACCCCTTCCGCCCATACAGGTTCTGTTGTGGAGGATCTTGTATGGAATCAAAGTGGAGATGTTCTTGCAATGGCATATTCGCCCGGAAATTCGGCTCAATTGGTTATGGTCGCTCCAATTGTAAGATTGTCGCATTGATAAGGCTTAGAAGTCTACGTCCTCAAATCAGATTAACTTTGTTCTCGCACCAATGCAGCCTAATACCCAGCATTTGCGGGGCATTAGCTGCATTACACAATACAAGGGGCGATCAGTTTCTTCTGCCGGTGTTTCCTGCTCCTCGCTATTGGGAGTGCACGAATTTATCACCGGTGGTGCGGACAAAACCATTGTTTGTTACACCATTTCTTACAATAGCATTTGTGGTCTAAACACGCTGACGGATCGTTCTCTTCCACCCATGTGCATAGCGCCCACAAATCCAGAGTCAATGCGGTATTACACAATCACATGAGCGGCTCCATAATTTCCGGTGGCTCTGACAGGTGCCCATTCACTCATTTTTCAATAACTTAGACGATTGATTCTATATGATTTAGAGCAAAGAGCCATAGACCAATGCCATAAGCTTGAAAGTCGTATTAGCACCGTTCAATTGAACGAAAAGGCAGATTTGCTTCTGTTGACGTTTTTGTCTTCTTCAAACCAGCTGATGCTGTGGGACATACGGAAGAAAAAATTCGCCCACCAATTTGGCTGTGCAGAGGTATCGTATTCTTCTAATCGTCAAAGAGCAATAATTTGAGCAGATATGTGCGGCCCTCTTGGCACAAAGATGGCAATTTGGTGGTATGCGGCGGCTCTGATGTCTCCGCCTCCATCAAGGATCAGGCTTCAATCCATCTTTGGGACATACGGATGCTCAGGCGGCGACAAAAGGACGTGCCTGTCCATACGCTCTCCATAAATACGAGCAGAATTGTCCACTGCCTGTTTGCTCCAAATGCAAGCTCCCTGTATGCGCTGGCCGTGGATCGCTCCATGGTTATTTTGGATTATACCCTAAATTAATGAACCCAACTTTGATTAATTTGAGCCCATAAACACAAAATAGCTCGCCACGCTAGAACTAGCTCTGAACAGGCGGCTACCAAGTAAATCGCGGTAATTTCAAATATAAGGCGTCCATATTGCCGGACCTTTAACTGGCTGTGGTGCAGCCCACCATTCAATGTTAGCGAATCACATCTCCAAGCTGAAGCTGCTTAGTTAGTTTTTATTGAGCTCATTAGGTATTGGGTCGAGATTGTACGAGATTCGGGTAGTGTTATCGCCAGATTTGACCTGCACCTTTCGGACTCGCATCATAGGTCCAAGAAGGCCAAGATGAGGAACATGGGTACCTCCACATGGAATTTCGCTTATAAATCCATCGATAGACATGCATCGCATGGCATAATCATCATGTGGAGACGCGTGTCGGATGATTGTGAGGGGATCCGCTCTGATGATCTTGTTACAATGCTGCTCAACTAAAAGCAAAAACTCATCACGGGTATGTGGAATTTGTGTGGCGAGATCTCTAGTGGGGCCTGTTTTATCTTTGAAGACCAGCTGACCACGATATAGAACATGGGGTCCATCTGGAAAATGGTATGCCTTCCCTGTCGTAAGAGATAAGCCCATTATCTCGATGAGAACAATATCAAGAAGATGGCCGGCCGTATGAAGCCGGCTATTGAGAAAGCGGCGATCATGGTCGATTCGCAGGGTCACTGGAAGCGGAAGAAGAGGAACTAACTTTTGGGCTGTAGTGCGTTGTTCCGCATCCCCGATAACGTGCTCAACAGTACCTATGCAAGAAAAAGTAAAACTTACTAATTTGCGATGTCTCTTCTGTTTTCATGCTCACAGAGGTGATGTTGAAACGCTTTGTATTGTTCAAGACATGATGGATCTCACTGTTCAGGGGATCCCCTGTAGGAAGCATTTCGTTATTAGAAATCTTTTCTTGAGGGACCTTGCCCTGGCTCTGATTTTGGTCCTGGAGGTAAATCTCACCTGTGTCGCATCTAGGATGAGAAGGTGTATATACGGTTGCCCGCCCCCTTGCGGATAAAAAAGAGTGATGTCAAGAAGGAGACTGGCCGCATCACCGGAAGCATTGAATCTGATCCCAACTAGAAGTGCATTGCCAATTGTGGCTGAACTCCTCAAGTATGCGAGTCTAGTGGATTCCGTCATTCAAAAAATAGATATTCGTAAGCCGGAGTACTTTAAATGCGTGACCACTTAGCTCGGGTGTCCCATCAAACACTTTATTATTCAACTGCCGTTGCGTTCAAAATCAGTGCAACGTGTGGACTTAATTGCCCTTTTGGAAGTATCTCTAATCAGCAATACAAACTTGCTTCGTGCTATAGCGCTTATATTTGGAATTTCTGTGTATCGCGTTTGGCCCGAGAGCCACCCTAGGAGGGCTTATCGGCAGATAAACCTTAAGCGGAGTTTGATACTTTGCCAGTAAAAGCAGGACCTCATCAATTCTTTATTTGATGGTCTAAGTATTGACAACAACTGCATGCGAATGCTGCGTTTTAGAATTGACTATAGGTCCCCTAACCCTAGCTTCCCAGACGGCATTTCTATCCGTCCCCAGATTTCGATTGTATTCTGTCTGTGATTTGGATTGCATTTTCAAACCAGCTCAAGTTTTCTCCAGTATATTTTTGTATGCGTTTTTTGTAAGGGCTAGCTGAAAATCCCTTTGCATTTCAGCCTATGCGTTTGTCAAAGCTTGGAGCCAGATTTTTACACCTTGCCTTTGCGCTACGTTAACCCTGCAAGGCGAATAATAAATTTCCGCCAAACTAAACTTTAACGTTCAACTTGCTGCCAGTTAAGGGTTCGCCATTGCACTTGTATCTGTCATGCAGCTGCCTGCTCTTCTCCGTGTAAGGACGTCCTCTGGACAGACCACGCGTGTCCCAATAGACGTCGATCAATATAGACCTGATGAGCCGTTTTATGAGTCAGCACTTTGCTCCAAATTTGGCCCTGGCACATGGTCAAGGGATCCTTCTGGAACCACCCCCATTCCTCAGCAGACATTGCTTGGAGAACTTAGGTTAGGCCTCTCGCTTATTATAGAACTGGAGAAATGCTTTTCTTCAAGCCCACATTGTCTTTGTCGCCTAGTTCTTTGGCCTCTACATCGCTGCTCTCTCTCTCCCAGCCATCGATATCAATATCGGCCATTGACCGGCAGCTGGAGACGCAAGAGGGTCGAATTGTACGGAAGCGAGATCCGTTTCTGTGTAGACATTCTCAGAATGGAATGTGCCCTCATTGTGCTCCGCTTGACCCATTTGATGCAGGTTACCATATGGAACATGGCATCAAGTTTCTCTCCTTTTGGAGCTTTATTAAGAAGGAGCGAGAGACACTTGCCTCCATCCTGCCTAGTTTAGAGATTTCCTTTGGACAGTGCAAGTCTGGAATCCATTTGCCTTATCCGCAAGGCATGTGTACAGCATGTCAGCCTTCACCTATAACGCTTCAACAGCAGGTTTGTTACTCTTTAACGAAATGATAGAAATTTCGCATGGTTGATCATGTAGAATTCGTTGATTCAGCAACGGTGGATCGCTTTATTGATCGTTGGCGCGTAACTTCACATCAAGCTCTTGCATGGCTCATAGGCACCTATGATTTTTACGCAGGTGTGCCACTTGGCGTCAAAGGCAAGGTCCGTTATCTGTGGATGCCTCTTCAGGAAACAGCTCAAGATGGGATTGAGCTGCCTACAGATACTTCTCCGCTGTATGGGGCTTTGGAAACACTGCTTCATAATACGCTTGCATGGCTTGGCTTGGAAAAGATTGGCGCAATATGGACAGACCTGTCTCCAGCAGGCGTCCCGCCCTGTAGGGGGCCTGAGACTTATTTTGTTTCTAGCTGGGAAATTGCGTGGATTACCCAAATGCAATTGGCACATCCAATCCCGGGGTGTTTCGAGGCAAGCAGTGCGTCGCGTTGGATTTCTATTGTTGTGACGGCAGATGTTAACGGAGAAGTGGCTCTCTTTCCCTATCAAGTCTCGCTGCAAGCTACATCACTTGCCAAAGCGGAACTTCTTCATCCCACATCAGAGGCCTCTTCGTGTGCCATATGGGCACCAAAAAATGGACATTTCAGTAGCGTTCCCCTGCCAGAGCTATTTTATCGGGTAGAAGAAGTTCAAGACACAGAAGAGGGCAATGCGCGCGCCAATCCAGCACAACGCCGGGCTGACCCCTGCTTCCCAAGCGAATATTTACTTGTCTCGCTGACCCATGGTTTTCTTGCTGATAAAATGCAGCCTTGCAACCATTTTGATATTGCGGCCACTTTTGTGGCAGCTGCGGGCGAGATCTGCAGCTCCACATTCCTATGCGCATTGGCCCCCTTTCTACTACACCATGACTCTGGAGATGAGTCCATGACTGGTCTAATGAGGCAAATCCATGCTGATCTCGGTAAATTATCGGTGTTTACTTTAGGGCTGTTGGTTGCGCTTCACGGGATGAACATATTTACCAGCGAAGAGCTCACGCTGCTTAAAGACCATTCAGATGCCTTTTTTGACACCTCTGGATGGCGGGATCTTAAAGAGCGCATGAAGGCCGCCCGCGCCGATGCCGGTTCTATTGATATGCAAGCGAATGATGCGCCCCTCTGGGCATGCACGTTTTGCACGCTGATTAACCCTGTAAGCGTAGATGACTGTGAGGCTTGTGGCCTTCCTCGCTCCCCTGCATAGACATCGATCGTAGGCATGTGGTGGACAATTTTATAAACAAATTATAAACAGTCATAAGCGTGCGGCAAATAACGGAATAAACAAAACGATCAAGGGGCGCCTATTTACACAACAAAGAAAAAGACGAATAGCGCGACCAGGGCCAGCAGACCGAATGCCTTTAAAATGGCGGAGCGGTGTCTGCTTTCGCTCTGCCAGAAGCGGTACAGCTCGTGCTGGGCAACATCGGCATGCGAAAAAGCTGATTCGATGTCAACGTCAATCCTATCATGATGGCCACACGCTTACCGTTGAATGGTTTCTCCTTGAAGAGACACAAGCTGGACCAACTGTTGGAAAATGGTGCCCAGCTCATGGACAGTAGATTCTATACTTTCCAACCGGCCACTGCTGGCCGAAGCAGGGGCCTGGTGAAGAGCCATCTTAGAAGCCGACGAATATGCACAAGCAGATACGTCTTCATATGCAGAGTGAATATCAGTACCGGTGAGATAGCGCCCGCGTAGCGCAGATGGATAGGCGGAGGTGTATGTGGTTTGTCCAGCAGCGTATCTTTGAGGGGCCAAGCGGAGCGATACAGCTTCCAACTGAGTGGCCGATTGTATATTCGCTGGATTTGAGGCTGTCAATTGAGAAGTCATTGGCAATTGGCTCATTTGCTGCACACCCGCCGGTGCCTCGGAGATGGTTGGTTGGGAACCAAAGCTTTTTTCGCGGCGCAAGATCTTCTCAAATTGATCGGCAAGCGATCTGCAGCAGTTTTCTAAAAATTTGCAGACAAGGAGGGTGTGCTCTGCATATGAAGCAGGGATGCCATTCATCGCCGCAACGGAGTATTGAAACGATTTCAAATGCTGAATCTCCTTGGTAACATTTGTCGCCAGCGCCTTGATTGCGTCAAGTGAAAAAGAAGGTTGACAATTTAAAATACTAGATGGCATGAGCTGTGTTGGCGCGAGAGGAATATCAGAGTGCCATGCTGCGGGCGCAGGATATTCACAATTCAGTGTCAACAGCATGCGACGTGCCTCCGTGATCTCAGCACGGATTTTAGTGCTGAGTGACTGGAACTGGGCGTGGATATGATCATAGCTACGTTCCACCGGATATATTGCTTCAACGGCAACCACGCTGTTCCTTGCCATCACAAGCAGCGAGTGGAACTCGCGTGACCGGTCCATCGAGCAATTAAATGCGGAAAACAAAATTGTACATTTGACTGCTTAAATGTGTAACCCTAACCCTAAATTCGCTAATTTTCGTCCAAAAGGTTTATCAAGCGATAAGACGGCTGGGATGTGGTAAAATATATGCTTTGCCGGTTTCCAGGCAACTATGAATTTCGCATTGATATTTTTTATGCCACAATTAGGCGAAACGTATGTGAAGCTCCAACCAATTAATTGACCCGTTAAAAGCAATTAAATTTATACATTGGACATTGCAAAAGAAAATTAAAATTAAAATTAAAAGACTGCCCCCTTTGCAATGGCAGAGCCGCCTTTACGCTTCGCCATCGTTGCCCGGTGTTCGACAACACGTGCACGGGCTTCCTTGATGCATCTTCCACACGGAACAGTTAAGCTGCCTGTATTCATGCCTGTTGGTACGCAGGGAACCATGAAGGGACTCACTGCCGACCAATTGCGGGAGCTTGATTGCGAAATCCTGCTGTCCAATACATACCACCTTGGGAATAGACCAGGCGTTGATATTCTTTCTGCTCAAGGTGGACTCCATAAATTCATGGACTGGGATCGGGCCATTTTAACAGATTCTGGCGGCTTCCAGATGGTTTCCTTACAAAAGCTATCCACCGTGAGCGAGGAAGGCGTGACCTTTGAGTCCCCTCACGACGGAAGCATGATGCTACTACGCCCAGAGGACTCGATTGCCATCCAGCGGGAAATTGGCTCAGACATCGTTATGCAACTTGATGATGTAGTGAACCCGCTGTCCCCGCCTGCACGTCTTCAAGAGGCAATGGAGCGCTCCATCCACTGGCTTGACCGTGCTATCGCCTCCATGAAACAAAATGAAGCTTCAAATGTGGAACAAGTTTCTTTAGCAAACGCGCCGCCTGGAAAAAAGATGATCCCGGTCGTTGAAGCGCTTTCCTCGCAAAAGGCCGTCCCAGCACGTCAGACGCTCTTTCCCATCATACAAGGCGGCTTGGATCTCACTCGTCGCGATCACTGTATTACAGAAATGAAGAAAAGATCTACACTTGGATATGCTATTGGTGGCCTTGGAGGCGGAGAGGCGAAAAGCGATTTTACGGCCATGATTCGGTTCTGTACAAAAGAGCTGGAGGGAGACGGCAGTTGCCCCTCAACCCCGATATATTGCATGGGTATTGGATATGATCTCGATTTGCTGATTTGCGTGGCACTTGGTGTTGATATGTTTGACTGCGTCTTTCCAACACGTACAGCAAGGTTTGGCCATGCTCTGCACCCTTGCGGAGATATCTCGCTTAAAAAGGCAATGTATGCCCAGGATTTGCGACCCATCGATTCGGAATGCACATGCCTCACTTGCCGAAACTATACCAGAGCAGCCCTACATGGGATCGTCGGGAAAGAGACGACAGGCTGCCACCTGCTTTCAATGCACAACATTGCATACATGTTGCGATTTTCACGGGCTATGCGCGATGCCATAATAGCAGACAAATTCCCCGCATACATCAAATCATTTCTGCGTCGACGCTTCATCGAAAATGAGGAGCAGCTCGCCGATAAAGAAGCGATTGTGCCCGAGTGGATTATCGATGCTCTTGCAAGTATTGGCCTTGTCATCGATCCTAGAATGGCAGAATAGCAATCAAAAGCAAATAAAGGGCTGATAACAAATTGAACGAAAGCCAAGGGCTGATAACAAATTGAACGAAAGCCAAGGGCTGATAACAAATTGAACGAAAGATAAACACTAACACGTGCCAATCCAAGCGAGCAGCCCAATTTAGAGTTACTCTAAGGGCTGCCAGCAAAATTTTCCGCCTCCCAGTTGCGGAATACCTATTTCAGCAGGAGCATATGCGGCCTTATATAGCAGCTTGGGACATTTTGGCGAGTAAAATCCTAAAATTGGGCATGAAAGCCATACCGAGAATGTAGTAGGAACGTCTCATTATGCGGGCAAGCTCAATTTCGGTCAGAATGGAAAAGGTTCCAAGGGAAAGGTTAGCATATTCCGGGTCATAAAAAAAATAACATGACGAAATATAGTCTGGTAGCACATCTACAGTTGACATTGCTACCAGCCGTGTGCCGATCACAAAGACCAAGAATCGAGTCGATCCCTCCTACAAATGAATACAAAAATTACAACAAATTGCAGCTGGAAATGTCAAAAAGACACCGGAAAAGATGGAAAAACAGAAAACAAACTGATAGCGGATCACAATGCCCATACCTCAAGAGCGCCATCAATAATAAAGCTTTTGAACGAATCGACAGTCCAAGTAGCAGCATCTTCATGTACCGCTTGCTGATACTTCAGAAAAAGCGTAAAAAGTGAAGCAAGCTCGAATTCAGCAAGCAGTTCAGAGGGCTCAAGCAGCCTGACTGTAAAGGCCGGAAGAACCCCCATCTCCTTGGTTTCTTTGAAATTCTCAACTTTATACATGTCTTTAATTGCTTCTGGGTATGCCTCCAGGTCTTTTGTGATGTCTCCTTGAGAATAGGTTGTCAAAAGACGGAAACGTGTAGCTATGCGGCGATACGCCTTCCTCTGAGAACGAGAAGGAGTGAACGCCGAAACACGTAACCTGATCGGTTTAAGTGGGCAGCATGTGATATCATTGAGGGGCAAATAGAGCAGTTTGGAGCCAGATCTGCAAATAGCATCAACAAACCTTACCTTCGCCAGCCCTGCTCCATTAGCTCTTGGTACAGCAATGCAGCAAGAGGTGTTTTGAGTTCCGAATAGATTGCGATAGATCCATTCCCACCGCAATACCCACAATGGCCTGTAAACACAGAGACCGATTCTACGAATGACATGCACGCTAGCTGTGGTGACAAGTATCTGGGATTGTAAAAAGGTCCACCCATTTTATGCTAAATTTTAATTTAATTTTAGAGAGCAATTCGCCATGTCTTCGCCTACGATCAGTTTTGGGTCGCCCACAGAACGGGAGAAAACAGAGCTGTCTCGCTATTTGAAGACAGAATGTGGTCCCATGTTAAAAGATGCCATAAGTTGCGTAAAACAATCACATAACCAAGTAAAAGGCATCGACTGTCACCAGCTAATTAAGGCGTATTTGGACTGCTGCTCTGCAACACCGGCAGCGTGCGCCGAACGGTTTGGAGACCCGGATCACAACCCATTCCACACAGAAGAAGAGCAGTAGCAAATATAAAATAAATCGCTTTCCAATCGATTTGAACGCATCGACCTCATCAAACAAGCGGTTGGCGCTAGATTGGTGTTTGAACACATCGCGATCATTGGCTGTTGGTCTTTGGATCGCTCAGCTGTGTGTAGACATAGCTGAAAGTGCAATAGTGTCGTTTTCTAAGCATGAAAAAGCAATGCAGAGGCAAGCCAAGTCAATTGGGGCTCTGAGTCAACGGCATGTGCACTGATTTGGTCACCCCCACATGGCCGTTCACCTTGTACTAACGGGGCTTTTGTGAGCTCATAGCCGCTGTAGATTTGGCGGATCATCTCGGACTGTTCAACATGAGAAAGACCACAGCATGATGCTCGGAGAAGCTTTGTGATTCTGGGATACGTTTGACACTTGAGCTCATCAATCGTGCCCACGAGATAGTCAACAAAGATCAATGAGGAAAACAATTCCCTCTCAAGCTGCAAAGTGAGTGCAGATGAAAGAGACCTACTATTTGGTACATGTACAAACGGCTGGTCACTTTGAGTATGCAGTGAGGCTTCATAGACAGCCCCCTGATGGCCTCTCGAGATATTGCCGTTAAAAAAACGTTCCAAGTGGATAAAGAGGAACAGAAGAACAGGAAGGGCAACAGCAGGTCCATGGCATATAGCTAATTCTACAATAAATACACCAATTTTACCCTCAAGAAGGACAAGCTCGGAAGTGACGGATGAAATAAGCGGATGTCCAATCCTATGGTTGAGCCAGCAAAAGAGCACGATGAGTTCCATATCGGTGGCAATAGGGATGGACATCAGAAGCTGTTCCAATATTTCAATCGGAAGTGAGGAGAGCGAAGAATCTTTTGAACGTTTGGAGTTCAGGAGACTTTTTTTAGGAATCGGCGTCTCCATTGAAGGGAAATAGTCCATGAGCACGCTGAGGAATTCGTAGCGCACCCCTATTGTATCGGTGGAAGTTGGCCCGTTGTTCGGCCAACTAGACCGCAAAAGCTCGATTACAAAGAATGGAAGAATAGGTGTACTCCACACCTTATAAAGAAGATCCCGTGATAGGGTTGGAAACTCCATTAGCCTGTCACCTGGGCTCAGAATCCATGAAGCATAGTGGCAACAATGGCCCAGGGAGATTCCAAGTGGTAATGATAAGCCTTTCTCAAAACTGTGCCGATCGTTGCAGAGTATGAGCCAGAAAATTGAATCCACAAGCCACTCTGAAGGCCGCGTCAAAGTGTGCAAAGAAAAGGCGCTATTTACGGCCAATTGGTCCTTTGCGGCCGACCCGGGTTGTAAAAGGGCTTCTTTCGAAAAGGGAGACATTGTGAGAAGGCTCATTATGCCATCCAATAGACGTGCAGAAGTAGGCAGCCGAAAGCGAAGGTAAATCCGAAGCAATTCTGCGTCCATAGATGCAACAAGCGACAATAATGAATGCAGCAAAGCACCGCCGACTTTTAAATGTGCATCTTGATGAAACACTAGCACTAGCATCAAAATAAACCGCTCCAGCTTGATTGGCCGCCCCAGCAGTGCTAGCAAAGTCTCTGCCCAATGCGCCTCAAATGTAAACCCATCCTTCACACACGCAAGGAGCATTTGTAGAAAGTGTTCGCATCCATAGGGAGCGTCAGAAAGACATTCCGAAATTCCATTTGTTAATTTTGGAGAGCATTCGGGGCTTTCATGTTGGAGCTTTTGGGAGCATTTAGCATTCTCGATTACTGATTCCGTAAGCATGTCGATATATAAAAAAGGCTGCTGGTCTAACTTGGAGGTGACTTTAGAAAGCATGCGTGCAATTATGGGCCCATCATTAAAAAAGGCTTCACTGAATCCACTGGAAGGTCCGTTTTGCAGGAAAAAGGTGTCGATGTGCAGCTTTTCATCGTTGATGCTAGCGTTTGTACACCTTGAGCTGATTTGCTGCGAAAATGCGGACAGAAAAAATTCATGGGAAAATGACAAAGGGTAAGGGCTTTCTACAGCAACGGCTTCCCCTCTGTGTTCTTCTTCCAGTGTAAAAATATTGGTGAGATTTAAGGATGACTCCGAATTTTCTATTGGTTCGACACCGCTTGCATGATCATGCAAAAGACCCCCAAACTCATTGAGCAAAGAAGGAAAATTGATCCACATGTGCGTAAGGTTTTCCAGTAAATCGGAAGGTTTCGCCCCATTCTTAAGATGGTCATAAATACTTTTTAGGATATCATCTTCCAAAAGCAAATCCATTGCCTATCCAAACAATAAAAAGCGAAAGTTTAAATTTATTACTGCCCTGCCTATCATGTAGTTCGTCAAACTGCTCGTTGATTTCGTATGGCTTCTTGCGTCCTCAAATGTGCCCATTCTGAATTTTTAAAATCTTGCATCTACTGAAAAGCCAACAAATGCACAACTTGTTTATAAAGGAAGATTTTCAAATTTTGCTTGTAATGTGGCTAAATGTGGAACGGCTTCATGCGGAGTCCAGAATTTTGGTACCGTTGTGCAGATTTATCAAAAATGCAAATCCATTGTTTTTCGCTGCTAATTTTCGATCAAAAGTGGCTCCATTCTTTTTGATAAGGAAGTTTGTCACCCTAATTTAGAGAAGGTGTCAACGCAAGTTAGAGAGATCTACTTTTCAAAACTGGATTAAAAATGTTTGTCCAGCCTCAAAAATAGCATCTAAAAGTGACGATTTTAGCTTCCGCGTGAAAAGAAGTCTAAAAATAGCGATCAAAGTGTCGATGGCGAAAAGGCCCGATCCGCAAATCTGGGTGACATACCCAGTGGCCCCTCTTTTTAAATCTGAAATTTAAATTTGGCCTTCACATTGAATTGTGAAATGCTGATCTCTTTCTTCATCGCTTTGGGGCCTTCCATGATAAAATGATCCTGCAACCCTGCATTAGTGTAGATGAGTCGACAAATAGCGATAGTCAAAAGAGACGATTGAATGTGCCCAATTTTTAATGTCTCCTCAAACAACGGAACGGCAGATGCGAATGCAATTCCAGATCCAGCGAAACAAAAGGGTTGGACGCTTCATTGGTTATGGTGTATCCAAATTTAGCAAAAAAAACCTTCGGACACATAAGTTTAGCGCACGATTGCTGTGAATCTGGGCGTGAAAGTGACTGTTATGCTTGCTAAAGTCCATGTGTTGAGATTGATAATATCGACCGATCAAAATATCGACCACCGATAACCAGCTATTTGTTTGTATTTCAAAGCGGATAATAGACATGACTGGCAACCCCAAGAAATAAAAGCACTTATCACGGTATCTTATGACCTTTATTAGCGCTACCAACCGTCAATTTTACACTTTTAAATGCAGAGCCTACGTTGTCAAAGCATCTGCCATCCACCACAAAAGAGGGCCTCAAGGAACTTTCAGCTACTTCAAAACTTTACCAAAAACGCTGGGGAGAATCAAGCTGCTGAGCCAATTTCAAAGGGCGGTCCATTGCAGAACGTTCCTATCGAGCCTTTTCACCGGGCCGGAAATTCGCTGTGGCATAAAAGCCTTTACAAGCGAGGATGTATGTGACGGTCGAAGAGATGTGTTGAGCAGCCCATTTACACATTGACGTCAATTTGAATCAAAAAGATGCCGATGTGAAAACTCAGCATCAAGGCCAGTTTAATGTAACGCTGGGTTATTAGCTATTCAATAGCAGATCCAAAGGCAGTTCGGTTTGTAAAGGGATTGAATGTAAACACGACGCCTCCTCGATGCTGCTGCCAAGCTGGCAAATGATATCAAGAACATTGGGTCTCCAGTTTCAATTTCCCAAATAATGTCTCTGCTTGATAGTTTGCGGCCTATTCTTGCAGGGTATTTATCAACTATCCTACACCGCGCTACTTGGGCCTATTTGCACTCCTCTATGGCTTGTTAATGTGTTGCATCTTTGCGCTACTGGTAGACTGTCCATTAACTGTGCAAACATGAAAATTTCAAAATTAGCGCCAGTGAATTAATATTTCTAAGCCCACATGAGACGGAAGCGCCTGAAAAAGGTTAGGTAAAGGTCGGAAATGGCGAGTTTTGCTGCTTCGCTGGCAACGGGCTCTCGCTGTGCCATCTGGTGCAGCTGTGCAAGAAAGTTGCTGAACTCGTTGAGCTCATACCAAAGCGCCATTTCAGAGATGTGGTATAAGGAGTGGATGCGCTCAACATCGGCATGCAAAAAGTAATCCCAAACATACCCGGAAATGAAAACATCCGGCGGTATTGTGTGAAACGGCATCGCCAGCATCAGCATCGAAGGTAAGTTCACGCTAGCAGATGCGGTATCGCGATCAACACTGCTGCCAATTATAGTCTTCCCAAGAATAAGAGCCCCGCGGTGGAAACTGTCGGGGCGCGTTGCTATTTTAGAGTCCCCCATTAGCGTATCACAGTATGCAATCAGGTCGCTTTGTAGAGTGCTCTCCATCTCGGGCGAATGGAGAGGCGGAAGAACAACAAGCTCAGCAGGCACATTAAATGAAGCAGCAGGCAAATAACGAAGCTGTACAAACCGACAAAGAAAGAGCAACAATTCCTTCACCGTGGCATCTGGGGCGCGTTCATAATCGTTTGAGAGAAGGTCAATCCACCCCAGGCGCATCAGATGGCTCACAATGATTGACGCTGGCATTTGCGAAGGAAGGAGCAGCGGCAGACGAGCATAAACTGTTGGAGCCATCAGCTTCCCCTCGTTGATGGAAGTGAGGAATCCTAAACGTTCCAGTGCACACGCCAAGCGGAAAAAATGGGAGGCTAGAACGGGTGTAATGCTCTTTTCGGTTGCTTTTCCATGTGAGGCTAGAACGGGTGTAATGCTTTTTTCGGTTGCTTTTCCATGTGAGGCCTGTTCGCCACTAGTTAATCCCAGCAGAGAGAGTGGCGAGGAAAGGAATCGCTCTAAAAAGAGCTGCTTGGAGATTCCTTCCTTGCCTTTAGAGGCCATGTGGAAGGCCTGAAGTACCATGGCAGCATTGAGAGACGAGGCAGCATCCGTCCGTATGGACGGTATTGTCGATGTCTGAAGATTATCAAGACGATTCTTGGGCATTCCCCAAAAAATGACGTGCCCCAAGGCGTCATAGTTGCGCCGTCCGGCGCGACCAGAAGCCTGCCGAAAGTCAATGGGCGTCAAAGAAGTCGATGTGGAGCCGGCAAAAATGACACTCTTGCATGGCATGTTAATTCCAAGCGCAAGCGTGGCGCCGGCAATCACCACCTGTAAATGTCTCAATCGGAACAAATGCTCCACCAACGAAAGATACCGTTTGGGAACACCTCTGTGGTGCACCCCAATTCCACGATAAAGGCCACGAAATAGGACCTTCTCCACAGGGGATGTCATGGCTCGTGCAACGCCTTGGGCATCAATAAGCTCCCCGAGCTCTATGTCGCTTATTTTCCAACGCTGATCGTAGAAAACAAACTCGGGATCTGGGCCTTGTGTACGCATCAAAGCAGCCATCAGGTCAGAAATTGACTCGGCCTCCATGGATTCTTCGATCCACGAATCTTTGGATGTTTTTTTTTCTGCATCGCGAACACGACGAGAGGCTCGTTGGCTACGCTCAAGCGCCGACATACGTAGGCGCTCTTCGCGCAAGTGGCGAGAATGCTTTACGGCTTCCGCATGCTCCAGGCTTTCAATGATGTGAACGGCAAGTCGATTGCAGAAAGAGCGGTCAAAGTGGAAAATAATGGCAGGAAGGCGATCCTCCACACTTAACTCTGTCAGCAGCGGCATCACAGAGCCCATCAAATAGTTTTCATAGGTAATAGGAAACGAAGCTCCATCGTTCACTTGAGAAGGTAAATCTTCTGTTTCGTGCAGCGCTTGTTGATGCAAAGCAGAAAGAGCGTCGTTTCCAAGTGCCTTCTGAATCTGTAAAAAGTCTGTTTTTGTGATTGTGCGCTCATAAATGCACCCACGAATCCAATTCATCAAATTTCTTGAATACGCTCGTAAATCAGAGCGGCGAATTCGAAGTCGCTCAGTAAAACACGGCATTTTTTCGTAATCAAGTTCGGCTGGCAGCTGCGCCCGAAACTTTCCTGTCTTGAATACGTCTGCAAGTCGGACCGAGTCTCCAGACAGCAAGTAAAAGTCTGGGGGAAGTTGACGATCAAAGTCATCCATGGATAAAGAGAGCAGCTGGTGCCAAAGTAGGATCCGCCCGTCTCCGCCCATTCGGCGGCGTACGGAGAGCAATGATGAGGTGGATGCCAAATTTTGACTCTCAACAGCGTCATGATCCTGATTTTCGTCATTGCTTTCCTTCGTTTGAGCAATCTCCTTTTTCAAGAGATTTTGTCTCTCTGTTGGCCCAACAGACCCGCTAAAAATGTGATATTGGAGGTCTGAATATCTCTCGGCATGATCGATAAGGCGGCATTGAATGCCAGCACGCTCTTGAATGGTCGAAAGCCATTTGAAAAAAGCCTCTTTGTTTCCTACAGTAGCTGAGAGAGCAAGAACTGGTGCTCTGGAGGTCATCAAAATTTTCTCCCAAGAGCCACTTTTACCCTCTTCGGAGATGGTGTGAATCTCGTCAAGAATGACGTATTCGACCCGGTTGAAAAAAGACTCTTCATAAAGAGGCGACGTGATAAACCGCTCAATCACTTCAGGAAAAGTGACCAAAATCTGGGCATCCCACGCATGGAACACCTCCAGATCGGTGAGATATCCCAACAATCGAGAGGCGCTGTTCTTTGGATATTGCTTGTGTTTGAAGCGCGCATACACATCAGCCACAACCTGGTCCATCAATGCCTTGTTTGGAGCCACATAGAGAACAACACCTGTGTCTGAACGCCGGAGCACTCTTTCCATGGCATAGTAGCAAATGAATGTCTTTCCAGAAGAAGTAGGTGCCGATATGAGAGCAGAATGGCCCTCGTCGACTGCGTCAAGCAGTTCAACCTGCCAGGGATCGGGGCGGAATCGGACACGTGGATCCACCACAGGACCCTCATTAGCGGCATCACTTCGCAGAGCCAAATGCCCACAAAAGAGAAGCTGGAAGCGCACATAGGAATGACGCACCTTGTATTTACCGACCTCCCGACTTGCTCGAACAAGGGCGCTCTCCATCGCTTTGATGACATCTTTTTTAGAAAAAGTTTTGGAAGCCCACTCGATGATGAACTTGGAGCCTGCATCTAAAAATCCAAATAGCGCAAAGGAAGGAAGAATAACGGCCTCCAGTTGAGAAGGCGTTAGAGCCGCCAGAAGCGAGGTTTCTTGTTCACAACCGCTGTCAATGATTTCAAATAGCACTTCAAAAAGAGCGATGGCATGCACAAAGTCTGCATCTTTGGTGGAGGTTGCAAGATCAGAAGATCTGTTCAAAACGTTGCTCCTCCAAGCATCGCCAAAAATCCGAAGCTTTTCCAAAAGCATCGACACGTATATTGCCGGTGACGAGGTTTCGCGATCGATCCGCAACTGATCTAGGATGGCTAACTTGGAATCGATCGTTCGACTCGTAGAACAGCTCTCTCTTGCCACAGCAAGGATTTTTTGCTGACGAACCAAATCTGCCTCCATCAAACGACGGGTGTTTTCTTGCTTCATCAATTCTGCCTTTGAAAGTGACTTTTTGATGCCACTTTTTGCATGAGAAGGCTTCTTTTTTTCACTGCCCTTTGTGACTGGATCGTCCGAACGAAGGACTTGATTGAAGCAGGAAGAAGCGCCGTGGAGTGAACTTGCGTATGTGCTGATACGGGTCATGATTCGCTGTTCTCGCCTTCGCTCTTGCTGCTCCGGAGTGAATCGATGCGAAAAAGTAGTCAAAGCGGATATTTGATCCTCTTTTTCAATGTTTGGGTCAAGATCATCCGTCACTTGCTGATAAATCTTGCCATTGTGCGACGAGGTGGACGAGATCTTTTTCAAAGAGGTCTCCAACTCTTCCATGGAGGAAGTGTTTTCAAGACAAGCAGAAATGGATTGCCGATGGCCCTCTAATTTGCGAATCTCGACTTCTTCTAAAGGAAGAGGTCCATCGAGGTTCTTGTCGTCATACATGGTCAGATATCTCGGATCGGCGGGCATGGTAAAGCAATAAAGACGCTCTCCAATCAAAAAGGAGCGCTCTGAAAGGATTGCAATGGTGATTCCGGCTTGAATGGCTTGTTTCACGTGCGAAGTTGACTGAACAGATATGATGAGAGGACAAGTGGAGGCATGTTTGCTCAAAAGCTTGACGTCGTTTGGATTTCCTCTGGAGAGGCAAAGCGATTGGACGCCACTAGAGGCATCCTTAAATGCATCGATAAATACATTAATCTCTTCGATTGTAACGTCTGGATGTGGATCCTCTGGGCATGGCACTAAAAGCCTTAAATGGGAGAGGCCATTCAAGGCGAGCTGACGGGCAAGAATGGAAGATGCGCAAGATAGGGATACATTTTTTCTGGTCACATTCTTTTTAATAAAACAGATAATGGATGCTGTCACTACCAAAGACGTGGATCCCCCAAAGTACTTTCCAATATCGACATAATCAAAGTGCTCCTGAAAAGTAGAATCCATAAAATTGTAAAATGCAAACTCTAACTTGTGCGCAAATTCAGCATTAAATTTTCAATTTAACACATCCAACATGCAGTAGGTAGACCCTCCTCAATTGGCGGGATCATCCGACCCCCCCCCCCCATTGCAAGAGATGACAAGCGAAATTCCTTTTGCTTGCATGTTTGTGCGCGAGCGCACAAACATGTCCAACAAACACTTGCTGTTCTCAGTGATAGGCAGTGGGGTCCAACTTATTATTAAACTTGACCATTGGTATGCACAAACTGTACGGTTCCCAAAATAAACAAAAACAAAACCAAATGTACACATCAAACTGCATTGCAAGTGGGCCAGCCGAAAAAATCCAAACATTTACAAAGTTGTGCAAAATAGTCGACTGGTAGAATTGGCCCCCCCCCAAAGTTTATCTCACAATTGCAAAAAGCAAGATAGGTCTCGGGATCAAACGAAACGCAATACTAAGGGAGCCTCTGAAAATTTTTAACACACATGCTAAAAGGCACTTATTGAAGACGCGCCTTTCCAAACGGTGGCCATTAGGATAAAGATTCACTGAAATTACAATTTTAATGAAAAGGGGTTTCTCCCCTAAATGGACATTGAAGACCTCAAAGATTCCAGCTCGTCTTCAACAGAGCGGTATTTCTTTGTACCCATGGGATTATCTAAAAAGTTAACAGATGCTCGCATTACTGCCTTCAATATTATTGAAGCTCGGAAGCTCAAGCTTTTCAGAGGGAGCACCTTCCCTGATTGCAAGAAGCTTCTCATCTAATTGCTCTTGCTGCAGTAAAGCAAGCTCATTTTCTAGCTCTTGCTGGCCGGTTACAAAAGCTACCCATACCTCATTTGCATCTAAGGCCAGTCCTATAGGCTGCGACACAGCCAACGAGATTTCAGAAGCAATGTCAATTTGCTCCCGAATATCCTCCATTGTAGAGTCAACATTGCCGATGCTTCTAATAAACCAATTAATCATTGGGCTAATCTCACAATGCGCCATGTATGGATTTCATCGCTTCGGATCCTGCCTTCATCACTTGCATGACCTAAAAAAAGGACACCCCAATACCTCGAGATTGATGTGGGCATTTTCGATTGTCATCACCTGTGATTCCAAAGTTGTTATGGTTCCTGCGATTTTTTCTAACTCGGCCTCGAGCGAATGTTTTTTCTTCAAAGCAAGCATTGCAACTAGATAACGATCAGGACAAAGCCTCCACAATACCTCGCTTATTTTTTGTGGCATTATCTCTGGCAATTTCCAGTTCATTCTCGATCTTTTTATAGATGTATTTTTCCTTTTTTTCTAGCTCAACTATCATGTCCTTTAGCTTTGAAATGGCCTCTGTGGGGCTTGTGGAGCTTTGAGCACCCATGATGGTGCTGCTTCCGGTCAATGAAAACCGAGAGAAGAACCCAGAGAACATTTCAAATAAAATTGAAGCAAATTTTAATGTTTAATTTTGGCCAAAGGCAAGTGTGTAGATGATGAGTATCACCCGTATTGTCAATTGGGCATATAAAAAGCCAGCAAAGGGTTGCGCCCTCAATTTATTTGACAATCTATTGTTGCCCCAAAAGGGTCCAAGGGTTACACCACTGATAATTCAATTGTAAATTTTAATTTGTATTTTGTAATTTGACCCCTCCCCTAAAAAGTTTATTTCTCTGCGACTAATCAAATGGTTCTCATTAAAGAATTGTAAGGCCTCCGTTTTGTAACGATATAGCCGAATCCCGATGCCCCTCACTGTTGAGGAAGTACCGTTATTGATTCAGCTTAATGCAAATATAGTATCAAATAGCACAGCTGTATTCTGTGGCCGAAATGAGCAAGCAAGAGTCTAGTTCGGATTCTGGAATTCAAATTCTTATCAATGAACCTTACAACGACCAAGCACTGGGAAAGGGACAGTATACGCACAAGCTATATCACCTTGGCAGGTTCCATTTGTTTCGCTTACCCTGCAGTAAATGCCCAAGGATTCTCAGCGCGCTCGTTCCAGCGAACACGCTAATCATTGACGAGAAAGCATGGAATGCGTATCCGGATTGCATTACTGGTATGTGATTGCTTTGTTTAAGCGGTGAGAATTTTTCAACCCGTTCTTGAGAGAAAGGTTTTCCATCAAAATACAGACAAAACATGTGGCCAATGACGATGATCTTGAAAATGTACTGACGTTTCTTGTTATCTTCTCAACATTAGGTGCACAATTTGCCACCCGATTTGCTCAGCAAGCGCGAAATTGTCAGAATAGACATTGCAAATGATCCGATTGATGTAAAGGAAAATGGCTGTGAAACAAATCCTAAACTATTCTGTCCAAAAAAGGATCCGCTACGAGGACCCCTCAATGCAAACTGGATTCGCGATATGAAGGCTCAAAAGAAACCGTTTATGTGTTGCTACAAATTGGTTACAATTAAATTTAAAGTGTTCGGATTGGAATCGAAAATTGAGTCTTATATTTCCAAAGTACCTTATACTGATGCTTATGTCGCTAGTACGAGCAATCTCTCTTTTTGCGCTTTCATAGGAGCATTTTCTGCTCTTTTGATAGATGGTTTGGGCTGACGATGTCGGATATCAGAGCACTTGAAGATGAGGCCAAAAAGGATCTCGATCAGGTGGGCATTTTTCCCCTAATGGTGATTTAGCTGAAAACCGGAGCCTCTGTCAGTGCCGGTAGTCATGAACATGCAAACGAAGCTATCAATATCCATGGCATCAATGAAGACACCATTGTTGCAGATCAGGCTGTCTGCGAGCTTGGTAATGAAGATCCCGATAGGATCGAACTCTGACGGCCAAATAATTTTTATTCTTTTTTACATAAATGAAAAGAAATTTTGATTTCTTTGTCTTCATTTAACCTGGCATGCTGGTTGTATTTTTTTTCATAAAACATCCCGTCGTCTGAGGGGTAAGAATATAGCAAAATGGACGAGGAGACCGTTCCAAAAGATCCACTTGGAATCATAAATGGTGGGATGAATGTTGCAGACAGCTTTTGCTCTAGGATTTCACCAACATCCACATCAGCAGAGGTGTCAATGGGGGTTTTGGCAGAGCTAATTTGCATATTCTGATGCTCCCCCTTGACGCCTTGGATTCTTTGTGAAAGCAAGGCGATTAGCTTGGGAATGTCCTTGTGTTCGTTTCTCTGCCATAGCATGGAATATGCTTTTGCCAGGTTGTATCCTTTGGCTGAAGGGAAATCAGATTGAGATGGACACGTCAGGGAAAATGTAGAAATCCCCATGTTTTCCATTATCAAGCATAGCGACTCTGCCATTGAATGTCTATTTAGGGTTACTTCGTTTTGCGTAATAAGGGAAGCATTGGTTGCATTCGGAGTTCGGTGTACAATTTTGCAAACATCGAACGAATAGCTTTCCATGTCAAATTGGATTGCTATCAGATTAAATGAGTGGTATAATGAAGAGGAGAATGCAATTTGCACGGCATCTGAAAGGGGCTTTGGCTCTGATGCCAAAATCTTAACCAGAACCCCTCGACTGCAAATAGAGGGCTCATCGCCAGATGAGCCAGTAGAACAGCTGCTCTGAGCAGCACCGATCGTTCCAAGGGTATTTAGGGCCCTGCCGTTTGTCAAGAGAACAATTCTTTCTAAAACTTAACTCCTGCATACAATACTGAGCTTTGTGTTCAAGGCCTTCCAGGTGCCAAGCATATCGGAATCTTGGCCCCCAATAATGTCACAATTCGCCCAAGTGTAGAGTCGTTTGGTAGGCCTGTTGAATAGCTCTTCGCGATTAAATAGTGCCGATCTAGGGTCAGTACTTGTGTAGCAACGGTACATGGTGTTGCTGTTCGATGTTCCCTCAACGTGCACAAGAGCAATGCACATGTTCAACAAAAGTTTGAGAAAGTTTAATTATCGGCAGCGGCATCCGATTTTTGCAGCAATTTAATGTCAATTGGTAAAAATGGCCTCCCCCAATTTGGGAATGCATACCCCCATGCTGGAGATTTAGACTTGGCTCCAAAGCGAAAAGATGCCATGAATAACCTGGATCTTTCCCATATGGAGAAAGTGCTTTCGTCATTGAAAACAAGCTGGAAGCCCTTTCTTAATCAAAATGTATCAAATGTGCACGCCACTAACCGGAACGTAGTTTAATGCCTTTATCTCTGCCATGGAGATTGCAAATTCCCCATCGCAGTCGGCGAACAATGTTCAGGCCTACGAATCTTTGCATTTAGAGCTAGAAAGAGCCATGGACGTCGCTACCAATTCTTATCACAACGAGTTGCAGGCAATAGCGTCGAAATTTTCGTCCATCAGCAACAACGTGCTGGGTATTTTGCCATATGCTTTTCAGTGTAGACGCGCGATCCAAATTTTCTTCATACAAAAAAGACTTCCAAAAGTCTAAATGCTGTTTGGTGGGATCCCGCTTCGACCTCACTACGCTTTATATTTTGATGGAAGAAGCCAACTTGCGCATTTTGATTTTATCGCTCATGTACGCGTGCATTGTGTTTTTATGATGGCAGGAAAAACCTGGGGTCGGTCCCCAAAAAGATCGAAACGTGTTTGGAGCAAGAAAAATACATCGAAGCTTGCGATTTGCTACTTTTGTCGAAGAAAATCCTAAGCTCAAGCATCTTTTGTTCGATCCATGCGCTATCGCACATTTCTCATCTCATTTCGTACGAATATAAAAACGTATTTCCAAGCTTTTGCGCTGATAACATTTAGGGGTTGGAGGGCGTTCTTTGCTCTCGCCTGTACGACACGGTTTTTTTAAAAAACCCGTCGTCGTGCAAACGGATTGGATCCTTTTACACGTCGCTTATTGAAAACTATAGCTCCAGCTCACATTCAGACACATTTTCGCTTTTTGAAATTGTCGATGGTTTGTGCAAAATAGAAAGCATCTACAATGCCCTGAAGGTAACAACTACGTATTCGCCCTAAAACTGCCAGACCATAAAGAACGCATACAAACTGCAAATTGATGCATGTTTCTCCCTGTTTGAGGAATCGGGCAGAGGACATTATCCCATCAGTGATGAGGAATGGCCCCCTTTGCTTTCGCTAGAGAAAAACATGATATCAATTTTTGCGGATAGAGTTATATGGTCGTTGGCAAAGCTTCTGGCCATATTTGAATTGACAATCCTATTGATCATGCATTTGGAAAGGAAATATGAAATCAAGCAGGCGTCCATCGGCATATTCATTGGCTCCGTTCAGGGAATGATTCAGAAGGCAGTACGCCATTTTTGGATGTTTCCGTAACTGCTGTAGATCGTCGATAATTTGGCGCAAATCGGACCCATTTCAAAATCGCTGGAATCGCTGAATTTGGATGGTGTTCCCACGTGTTTGGATGTTATCAGCAACCCTCAGGCACAGATAGATGCAAACGATGTAAATGCTTCCATTCATTTGTTAGATGCTCAGATTCAGGCTAACAAACCTCTCCATCAACGATCCGTTTGACCTCAATCTTGATGCCATTTTGCATCAAAATGGCACCACGGTATACAATCGGGGGTCGATTGAAGCCAATGGCGCTATGCCAGATGTTTATTTAATTCCCGCGGACAAGCCCGTTGAGTCGATGTTTTTTAAAATGATCCCGTCTTCAAGAACAAGATCCCTGCTTTTTGCCTTTACATTCAGGTAGCGTTTATGCTCCATTGACGGCATTAGGTATTTTGTAAAGTTTGAGCAGATTTTGGCCTCCCTAGTCAAATAAACAAGTAAATCATAAGCAAGTAACCCATAAGCAAGTGGGCTTGCACTAAAATTTAATATTCTCAATTTATTCCGAAAAAAAACTGGTTGATTGATGATGTCCACCTCCGCTTCCATGGGTCCTGTTGTCTCCCCATCCCAAGGTACTTGTTGTTGTTACAAAAATAGGGAACAATTTTGGCATTTTAGCCATGGAAATCTATTTTCCTTCTCTCTACGTTTCTCAGTCAGAGTTGGGTATCGGTTTTTGTGCATTATGTTTAGAGTGTCACGACAATGTTTCCCAGGGCAAATATACTAAGGGCTTGGGGCAAACAAACATGGCTGTTTGCGCGCCATGTGAAGATATTTGCTCGATTTCCCTCAATGCGGTCTCTCAATTGATGTCAAAATATAAAATTTCCTATCAATCCATTGGACGGCTAGAAGTTGGTACGGAAACATTAATTGACAAGTCCAAGTCCATCAAATCGGTCATCATGGACCTGTTTAACGGCAACGGTTGTTATGATGTTGAAGGTGTCGATGTAAAGAATGCTTGTTACGGCGGAGTTGCGGCCTTCTTTAATACCATTGCTTGGATGGAGAGCTCCTGTTGGGACGGTCGGCTTGGGCTCGTTGTCGCCGGAGATATAGCTGTATATGAACGAGGCCCGGCTCGCCCAACTGGCGGTGCTGGCGTGGTTGCCATTCTGGTGGGGCCAAACGCCCCGATCGTTTGTAACGGGGTCAGAGCCTCCCATATGAAGCATGCTTATGATTTCTTCAAACCGAATTTATCTACAGATTTTCCGATCGTAGATGGCCCTCTTTCTTTAAAATCGTATTTTGAAGCGCTTTCATCCTGCTACCGATTATTCCGCACAAAAAGAAACATCACAAGCAAGAGCCCGCTGGATGCGTACGATTTCTATCTTTTTCATTCTCCCTTTGGAAAATTGGTTCAAAAGGCACTGTCCAAATTGGTAATCGAGGATCGCTTAAATAATTCTAGTATTATGAAGACATTAACAGTATCAATGATACGCCGGATGTATGTGCTTTTCTTATCTTTAGGAAGCACTGAATTTTGATGACAAAACCCTGGAAAATGAGATGCTTGCAGCTAGCCAGGAGCTTTTTTTGCAAAAGACACAGCCTACACTTGCTTGCTCAAGAGAGTTGGGCAACATTTATTGCGGCGCCTTGTTTTCTGGGCTGATCTCTTTGATATGTAGCCAAGCTGGGGACTCGTTGGTTGGTTTATTGTCTTAACCTTAGATCGGCAAAAAGTGCCTATTATTTGCATATGGTTCTGGATACTGCTCCTCGATGTTTGAACTGAGAATTACTTCGTCTGTTGAGTACATTTCAAAGACCATCGCGTTGAGTGAGCGGCTCTCAGAAAGGACCAAAATATCGCCCATCCAATTTTCACTAGTAACTTGCATGTCTAACTTTATAGCTTCTCGATGATAAAGGGCATGCTGAAAATGCCAAGTTCAATTCTCTTGTTCCGAACAGAACAATCGTTTTAAGCGAAATCGATGCCAAGTGCAGAAGGATATACCAAGCTAAATCGGAAAAATAAATACGAGTTTATTGATTTGCACCAGAAAGCGGTGTCTGTACGGGTCTGGTGTGCTCCATTTGCAATGTAAACGTACGGAATAAAGCATAAACGGATGCGGGGCTGGCTAAATTACACCGGCTTCTTCCTCGCCATTTATCACTATAGCATCTAGTAGGGAAAACGGTAGACGATGTTTCCTGGAAACCGGTATGGAGCACTTTTTGGAAAATTCGGGCATATAACCGGTCAATATAAGCGATGTGCGCCCAAGTATGAAAACACTCGATTTCAACTGGCGGCTGGCTAAATTGGTGTCTGCATTGTGTGAATGGCACACTTAAATTGGAGGCAAAGCCAAAGCCTCCGAAGGCTTGTTTTTTATTTTCAATAGCCGGTATGTCTTAATGGATGTCCAAAGCGTCTGTTTATCACTGTCTCCACAACTCTGGGCTCCCCGTACCCAATCCTGCTTCCAGCCGAGTCAACAATAGTGGGCACCACAAACTCCAGCCAAAATGCAGATGGCCATATGGCTAAGCTGCCAAAAGGACATTTAAAAGCCTCTCGAGTAGATTGAATAAGCTGAGCAGAGTGGGCGAAGAGGGCGCCATCAACGAAGAATGACTTTATTTAGAAAACACCGATACTGACACGCAACATATATTAAGCTTTGGCTGTGTATCTCATCATTGATGCATGGTTGGTTGAAGAATATCTTTTCATTAAACTGGTAGGAAAAGAGTATATTTTTATGGCCAAAAAATTAATTTATTTAAAATCGAGCTCGGATGATTAGAAAGGGCTGCTTTTTGTGGATTCACCCTAAAACATCGTTGCCTTTTTTAGTGCTCTCTTCTCGTTCGTCTTATTCCATCGACCCTGCGGTTGCAAATCCCGCCACTAAAGATTCCAAAACCGCAAAGGTATTATCCACAAAGAAAACACAAGATCCAAAAGCCTCGTCTAATGTCAAAAAAGAGCCGATTTCGAAAAAGGAGCGTGATCCTGCAAATGGAGCGTTTAGCTTATCATCTCAAGTAAGCGTAGAGGATAAAGCTGCTATCTTTAATGCCAGGACTGATCATTCGACTGCTGAACGAGGATTTGAAGTCCGATCTAGCCTTGAGGAGTTTAATTCTGCTTTCGGTATAGCAGCGCCGATAGAAAATCATCCGCAAAATCCACCACTCGTGCCTGAAGAGACCGATGTGACAAATGAAAAGAATGACAGCGCAAAGCCCACCTTGTCATCCATAATATCAACCAACTTTGCGCACGAAAATCACCAATTTAATAACGCCCCTCCAATTCCAAAGAGTATTTCCAAGTTTTTTCCGGTAACCAAGAAAGTTCCGAGGCCAAAGTCTGCACCATCCTGCTCCAGGGAAGATGCCTCGCCTAAAATGGCAGGATTTACCAGCAGCAATACGGAATACACCCAAGAGCCCGATAAAGGCACATCAAAGCCGACACCGATTTCTACCTCGTATAGCGGCATTACTCCCAATTCTGCCAAAAGCAATGACGGCGGCTCCAATTCAAACTTTTTTAATAACCAAAGGCATAGAGGCCTGAATTCGTCCCACCTTCAGGGCGGATTGGTTTCCATCGTCCCAAAAGACGCGCCGCTTTCAAGCCAAGACCATTTTTATTCATTGATTTCAAAAAATATCTCCGAAGATGTGTCTTTTTGCGAGCAAAAAGAAATCATATTCGATGAAAACAGCGCCTCCACACATCAAGAGGTCAACTTGAAAAAAATACAAGAAAGTGTTGCTCCATCCCTGGACGTGGCCAGGTTTGGCAATTTTTCTTCCTCTTCTTTCGAGAGATCCGAGGCCAGCATTGTCAAAAGCATTTCGTTTGCCTTTCCAGCGAATCAAGCTAGTGTGATTTCGCTCCTCAATTTATATGACCGGCAATTAGATTATAATGCCACGCGCGACCTCAAAATTGAGATTTTTCTGAAGACGCTTCGTTTGCTATTTTACCTGTACAAGCCCACCGTATTCTCGGCATCGACGATCTTTAATATTAGCAAGCTAAAATGTATTGCAGAAGAATCGTCCAACTGGAGGGATATATCGCTAGTTTTCCCTCTTGAGCGGATGTTGCCATCATCGAAATCGTTCCAAGATTCCAGGATAACTTTTCCAATCGAGGTGCATATTGCCGTCATGAGCATCTTGGACAAAATCAGGGCAAAGCTATTTGCGTACGAATATTACTTGGAGTTTCTGATGAAAGATCCTGTTCCCTGCTCAAATCCGATCTTGTTGCGAAATGTAATAAAGGCGCTGTCTAGCCACCAGTTTGCTTCCAAGTCTGTGTTTGACCATTTCCTTAGAAACGGCGGCATTCCAACACCGGACATCGTTGTGGATCTACTGGCAACCCCGAATTTGATTGATTCCGCATGCTTGTATGAATCGTATTTTGACCAGTATATTAAAATCCCCTATTTAGAGCAAAAAATCCTTCCAGAAGAAGCCAAGAAAATCGATGACCGGCAACTCCTGCAAGCAACAAAGTCGATGTTGGGGATGTATGTTCGAGGAGCAATGTCGTGTCCATCGTACAACCAAAACAAGATTTTTGCTCTTAAATGCTGGATCAAAAAGTATGCACCATCGGTAGCGTGCAGCCCAGACTTTCATATTGCTTGTAAAATAGTTCTCAAAGAGAAGCCACAGCAGGATCCAACCTTGATCTTGGATTAAATTGGTTAATTAAATAAAATTTAAGTTATTTTTTTATGAAAAGCTGCAAATTGGAACAAAAGACTCCCGAATGCCACACGTTGTTCGTAAGGAACAGAGATCTGGGAGTGGTCTGTAATTTGCTGCCTCCTGTGTTTCAGAAGAGGGAGACCGCTTACTATGTGGTTGCCTGCACCGGGCCTTCGTTTCACATTTATGACGTCGAAAAATTGGATCTGCTGTTTATCGGACCTCATTATGACACACTTTACCGCCCATCTTCTGGCGAAAGTGCATCCATATGTGCCATTGCTGCCGTTGGGGATTTAACAATTGTCGCCATTCTTCCCTTTGGGGTCCTCTCCTTTTGCGAGAGAGCAAAAGAAACCTTCTCCATGAAGATTGACGGCTTTTCGCCGTCCAATCCGATCGTGCAGCTTGATAATATTGGCGAGTATGTTTTCGCTTTATTTGAAAATGGGCAGATTTTCCAGATCGACACGAGCAACAGAGGTATTGCATTGAATTGTTTCATGATCGGCCGTAGAAATTGTAAATTCCATCAAGCCTCATTCGGAAAGCGATGTTGATAGCCGTTGTATTGAGTTTCTGCATCCGAGCACTTATTTGAACAAGCTGCTGGTGGCTACCAACGATCACCATGTTAGCTTGTGGAACTTTCGTTCTGGAAAACATGTGCACACCCTGAAGTCGCTGGCAATCCTACCCCGCTCGCCGATCATGCGTATGACGCAAACCCCAGCGTTGGATGTCATTGCAATCTCGTTTTTAAACGGAACTTTTGGCTTTTTCGACATCAAAAAGGATCAGCTCTTATTCCGCTTGCAGCAGCCTGGTGGTGGTGCCTCTTGTTTTTGCTTTAGAACAGGTAGCGTTGCAGATTTTTATCCCCAGTAGGTGCCCAGAATCAGCAAATGATTACGTCCAATGCCGGCGGAGATATCTTTGTTTGGGACCTTGAGGAGAGAAACATTGTAGCCAAGATCGAATCGGCCCACTCTCAAGCAATCACATCTATTTCGATGGTACCGGGGAAATCTCTTTTCCTTACTACTGGCTGCGACAACTCCATTAAGGTCCGCGATTTTTGATCGTAATATTTAGGAATGGATTTTTCCGGCATCCGGAAACTCGGCTGTGCCACAATTGCTAAAGTTTCGCTCAGGCCATTCATCGCCTCCATCTTTGATAGGCTTTTATGGGGACGATGGCCACTTTATCCTTTCTTCCGGGGTTGACTGCTCTTTCCGCGTTTCGTCTCTTTACAAAGACTCGCAAGCCTTTGAATTATCACAAGCCAAAGAACATCGGGCTGTTGGCCCGTTTTCTTCGTTTGTTTCAACCCTGTCGCCGTATAGTTCAAAAGGCGGTTCGGCGTGGGACAACATTCTTTCGTGCCATCATGGCTCGAGCTTTTCGCAAAGTTGGTCATTCGATAAGAAAAGCATCGGATCGCATCGATTTGCATCTTCGGATGGTTCTGCTGTGGTTTGTTGCGCGCTCAGCCATTGCGGCCACTTTGGCTTTGTTGGAACCGATTCGGGGCATGTAGAAATCTACAATATGCAGTCTGGTCTGCACAGGGGCACCATCAATCATGGCCCCGCGCCAGTAAGTGCGGTGTGCTCCTCCTCTGATGGAGCAAAGTTCCTTTCGCTTTCTTTGGAGCATTTGCAACTGGTTGTCAAGTTTTGGACATTCAAAAACAGAAGACAACAGCATACTGAAAATCTGCCGCTGGCATTTGAACGGCAGCCAGGTTTAAAGGCGTATTTTGCACAGCATTTTGATAGCGATATGGTTGCCATTGCAGCTGGATGCCAAATTTTTGTATTCGATTTTTGTCTACAAAAAGCCGTCCGTGTTTTCAACGCGCCCCCCAAACACACCATCAATTCGATATCGTTTTCCGGAGACGGGAAGTGGGTTGTCACTGCCGGAAATGACTTTTGCGTCAATATTTGGGACATTCCCTCTGGCTCGCAGTACCATTCTCTTAATATTTACCCGGTATTGCCGACCGGCGCCGCTTTGTCGCCCAATGGCGAAACCTTGGCCATCATCGATGCAACATCGGTCTCCATCAAGCTTTGGTAGTTTTGGCGTGTTGTTTAATTGCTTTAGGACCAACAAAGCTTTCTATGGGCTATCAACTGTCAAAGAGGAAGCCCCCATTTCTGATTCAAGCTCCCTAATGGTGTTGAATCCCGTGTTCCAAGACGACGGGCTTGTTAGCCTGAGCGCGCCGAACTCTTCATTTTGGAATCAGCTTGTCAACTTAGATCGCATCAAAGAGCAAAGCAAGCCTGCTCAGCCGGTAAAGCCAGAGTCGATCCCTTTTTTTCTTGACAAGCAAAGCTTAAATGCTGTTTCTGGGGCCAAAGAGTTTGAGAAGACCGCAAAAAAGATGCCTTGTTCGCCCGATGTTTGGTACACCGAGTTGGAAGCCTTATTAATGTCGCAATCGGATAATTGTAACGGTTTACACGGCTAACATTGATAGATGGAGACATATTGCACCACTTCAAATCCTCTACTGCCAGTGCGATCGACTATTCCATTAGGACGCTTTCTGAAAATCGTATGATAGTCCGGTTTTTGGAGTTCCTTGAACACATGTTAATAACGAACAGCGATTTTGATTTGGTCAATGCCTATTTATCTGTCTTTATAGAGGTAACACTTGGTGCAAACTCATTCTATTAGAGTCACAGCGATTTAATGGCGTTCGGGGTTTGCGAGCATCAGCAAAAACTGGCATCGATAAAATCAATTCTAGAAAAGGCTGCTAGAATTGTTGACGATTCCCTTCACACTTCGCTCGGCCTGATCCGCTATTGCAGCGGTCGGCTTCTTTAATGGAGGCGCCCCTTATTTAATAATCACAACGACAACCACGACCACAATAAATTCCTAATTTAATGTTTAGGCCTTCTAGGGGAAAATATGTTCAATCGTGGACTTGTTTGAAAAAATAAGGTATACGTGGTAGGCAGATAAAATAACGAAAAACAGCGACCTAAATGCGGTGAACATCGTAAAAATCAGTACAAAAAAAGTTAGATGGCAAAACTGTTTGCAAGAAAAGAGAATTTTAGCATAGATCACAAACATCAAAATCTCAACTACCGTGGTAATGACTATGAATGCGACAAACAGAAAATAGTTGGACTTTCCAATGCAGTTGGCAAGCCAGGGGCAATGGTGGTCAAACCCCTCTATACAAATGTTGCAGGTCGAACAATGATGTGCCTTTGGACCCTTGATGACCCGGCAAACATTGCAATATCGGCGAGCATTTAAAACGGGGATTTTACCGGATACGGAAACATCATTTTCGGAGATATTCTTTTTTGAAATATCATTTTCGGAGAGATTCTTTTTTGAGATATCATGTTCTGAGGCTCTTTTTATCCTGCCTGGATCAGATAGGACCAGCAAGCAAAATAGGAAAAAGATAAACGAAAATCCAAAATATACCGATGGTAAGACGAAGGATGGGAAGATCGTCCAATAGCCTGCATAATGGAGATGAACATAAAACAAAAGAGGGAAAAACAGGAACAACAGGCCGATACTTACGACGATATTCTCGGGTAGCGAAAAAAAACTGATACTCGAATATGCTCGAAGAAAACAAAATGCTATCCTGCCTTTCATGTACAAAGAATAGCAAAAACCAAGCTTGTGGGCTTACAATAAGCACCAATCAAATGGCCTCTAACCATATCCAGCTGATGCCAAATTTTTATTTTTAAAATTTCGAAAAATCGTTCCTCAGCTAAAAAGCAAATCCCTTCGCTGAGGGAGGTTGCAGACCAGCTTTGTGCATTAAACGGCAAGCTAAACGGAAGGATCGATTCTTTGTTGATCGAGCTAAATGCTATAAAGAGTAGATTGCTTAACGTGCTAGATTTTAACCGCAATTGCTTGCCTTTGGGATCGAATCTTCTCTACAAGCTGGATAGGGATGCCGAGGAGTGCGAGTTAAATGTGTTGAGCGGCCAATTTATTGGAAAATTTACGCAATGGATTTCGACGGTTTTGCTTCCCAAGCTGAGTCTTTTAAAGAAAATTCTGGAACAAGACATCCTTTGCTCGGATGAATATAGAAATGCCTCCAAATTTACTCTTACCAACAGCCGCGAATCTTTTTTCGAGACGTTCGCGTTGTTGGATACCTTGCAGATACGAGTTTGTGCCATTGCGAATCTATTGAGCATTGCCCCCTTCGATCTTTCTTCGATTCCTGGTTTGCTGTCCGAATTGTAATTTAGCGGTGCAAGTAAATTGTAGTTTCGCATTTATTGGTACTTTCTTAATGTCTCGATGAGAGATTTTGTTTTCGCCAAATTGTCGGCCGACAGTGGAGCCTTTTGGTGTTCAAGAGTCTTGCGAATTGACCAAAGTATTTTGGAATTTTCGAGTTTAAAAAGACAATCCCGAATGGCTTCCCTAACCCCCGCATCTTTACAAGCCTCAAAAATAGGGACAAAAACGGACAGGATTTCAATTTGCCTATCATATGGCCACTTTGGAAACTGTCGCTTATATTTGACTACTTCTTCCATCAAGTCAACAAAAGACAGCTCTTTTGAATGTTTCAACAACAACACGGCCCGCATGTATAAAGATAAGCAGATGGGGTCTTTTACCATTCGACCGTATTTTTCATAGTGAGTAATAAGAACAGACAAAAAATGCTCCTTTTTACACGTGCAGGCAGTTGACATGTAAATGGTCATTGCTAGACCATGAAAAAGCTCCGATTTGAGAAAAGGCGCTGATTTGGCATGCTCGTCCACGATGGCAATACACTTTTCGGCGATCTTGATTCTTTCTGGGCTATCCAGTGCAAGGCCAGACATGTGCAGACGATACGCAGACAATAACGAACACACAATAAAAGGGTCGATTTGTATTTTGGAGCAAACGGCCCCATCATAATAGGCCTCAATGAACCAAAGAGGGGCGTTTAAATTAATGGCAGCCTTGATGGCTATGCAAATGGTATCTGAACATGGGGCTATCCCAAAGCCAGGAGACAGAGGAAATTTATTTTCCTCAACAAATGGGGAGAAAACAACTCGTAGCGTGTCAAGGTCAGATCCGTACTTGTGGCCAAGAATACCAATGGCCTTGATCAGGGTATTAAAAACGAGCCTAAAATCCGTTTTTTGCTGTGAAGAGATTTTCAACTTCATTTCTTGAAACTGGTCCCAACAAAAATTTAGAGGATCTTGCACTTGCTCCGTAAGCCGCGAATCTGGCCCACATGAATCCCTAGGCGATGCATCGAGCATGGCTCGCCTAATAATCGAATCCAAAAGAAGGTTGTATGAGATCAGGTCAGGAACAAGGGCTCTTTTCTTCATATCAACAAAAAACTTGTAAGCAAGCGCAGAGCAGCCGTGATCTCTGAGGCCCTTTAAAAGGGTATTGTAAACCGGGACACTTGGACGGACAAATAAAAAGTTTTTTTTACTTGATGAGGTCCGATTTTTTTGTACCAACTCTGACTTTTCTTTGTTGTTAACCTGCACCATTGAACAAAATAGCGCTAATGCGGCAGAAATCTTTCGCTTCTTAAAGAGGGCATTGATCCGATGCGATAGTTTAAAAGAAAAATAGGCTGTTTTCTTTTGCGTTTGAAGATGCTTGATTGTCGAGCTTTCCTCTTGGCTCGGCTTTCTTCTGAACCTCAACGTCGAGAAGCGCGTTAAAATTTTCGATAAATTTGAAAAAACAAGCATCAAAAAGCATTAAAAAAAAAATTAAAGTGGAATTTATTTAGTAAACACTCCCAAAACGGAACGCACGCAATGGCAATTCAATCTACAAAAACAAGCTTCCGCTGCAACATTAAATGCCGCACATCATCTGCACGCACAAAATGAAGGGTATCTGCATCGAGCGTTAGAAATCCGCGCTCCGTCTGAATGACGCCGCAATCTTCGACCACGCGAACGAGCGAAAAAAGCTTCCTGGGCCCGTCGGTAATGCTGCAGCCTTGGACAAACAAATCCAGCGATGGAAATAGGCCCTTAATAGTACCAAGGGAATTCTCGTACGATTTGATCAATTCGACTTCTTTCGAATCGGCAGGAGTATAGTGCTTCGAGAGACCCATCAACTGCTGCATGTGCTTGACCAGGGATGCAGTTAAGATGCGTTGAATTCTCAATATGGTTGTGTGATAAATAAGCAGCAGGTTTCTTTCCGATTCGCCCATCGATTCGTCTTGATCGCCCATCGTTGATTTCATGACAATGCCCTGTGCTTTGGAAAATAAATCGGCCATGTCTGACAAGGCGATCGATAGGCTTTTGTAGTTGAATTGGCTGTCCAAATAGGATGAGCACCTTGCCTCTTTCAGTAAGCAGAGTGCAGCGTTGCTCATTGGTAAAAAGTTAATTTTATTTATTAATTTAACTGGAGGCGCGGGCTCTAGGCAAGGGGCCCCAATTTGGCGGCGGTGCGTGGAACCTCACCAATCCTTGGCTGACGGATTGGGATACCGCGTTGGGATGCACACCAAAGTCAATCAAACTAAATAGGAAAAGATGCCAATCGCGGTACCTTGCGATGCCAATGGACATGATTTTTTCGGCCGTATCTTCGCGGACTTCGGTTTTTGGCTTCTTGGTGGCAATGGGCTGCGATTTAACCTGAAAACAGTAAGTCAATGTATGCTGGTGGCACATACCCATTCTTTCATGATGTCCCAAAGAAACGTAATTGGGGCATCCGTCTTGATGCCCAAAGGGTCACAGTGGCTAATTGAAACCTGATACCCAGCATTCAATAAAGCAGATCTGGCATTAAAAAACGAGGTCTAACTTGACGCTGACAAGCCGAGGCGTCGAAGTGTGCAAGATTTTCGACATATGCGGGATGGTCATGTAGAGAATCGAATTAATTTCCTATCGTTAGGCAAAAGACACGCAACCTCCGACAAAAGAGATAAGAATCCGCAAATCCTAGGCCTTGTGCCAAGGATAAAGTCGGTTGAGGACGACAAGAATTCCTGAAGGCTCAAAACAAACTCCTTCGAATGCAGGTTGGCACTCCAAATGGGACCGGCAACCTGCAGTTTTGTAGAAGAGCAAATTGAACAGCACGACACGGCAAGAGGGGAGTAGGCATACTTGTCGTTAGCAACAATGGCACCAATGGGCTGTGCGAAAAAGGTACGACATGCAGGGCAAGCAAGAACCAGAGCTCGTTTCCTACACAAATGAACCAAAGGCCTAACTTGACCGATTTCTTGACCTCAAGGGGCCCCTTATGGACACGGACAAAAATACGAACATAAAAGTCAATTTTGACCGAAACCAGCGGCTCAATATACCTCCCATATCTGTTGGCGGCCGTCTCAACTGCATTGAGAAGCAGACGAATGGCCTTTTGATTATCGGGAATTTGGGTCTTACCATTTCTTGCGAATAGTCCGAGTGCAATGGAACGCCTTGATATTTGGCAAAGCACGTGCCGGGGTGCACTCCACAAAGAACCGCCATGTCGGTGCTAGTGATTGCCAGAAGACCGCCCGAAGATACTGCTTGTACGGCAGCATCCAAAAACGGAGATGCCGATCCATACGGATCAACATCAATCAAGTCGAAAAAGCTTTGTTTTCCGGCCTCTTGATACATAAACGAGCTAAAGGGGAGCGAATATAACGTACTTTGCATCTTGGATGTTGATTTTTATCAGGTCCTCTTTAATTGCATTGTGGGCAATGTTTGCAGAAATGGTTTCCCTGACGCCGTGATCAAGGTCATTGGAAATGATCTGCGATGCAAGGGGAACCTGATGGGCATATCTGATGGCTCTAAATCCACTGGCTGTGAGAGCATCAAGAATTTTGAATGTGCTAGCAGAAGAACCCCGCGCTGCGGACGGTTTTGCCTTGGCCCGTTCATCTCGTTCCTTTGAAAAAAGTTTTGAAAAAAGATGTGCAATTAGCATCGAAAGATCCCTGTTGAATTCCTGGACAGGATTGTAAAATACCGACCGGTTATCGGGAACCAGGATCGACGAGATTCCCTCCTGGATGATTTTATATCCGTTGGGAGCATCGAGAGAACACTCGGTACCAGATGGCATGCGTAAATTAATTTTTTTAAAAAATGCCAAAAAACACCGGTTCCCTATCATGTGCCGAAACACCGTCGGCGCCGCACCATCAAAACACGAGCCAAATTGGCTCTGTCGATTCTCTAGAAAATGATGATTTTTATCATCCCAATGAATGCTCTGGAAAAAAGCGAAAATCTAGATCAGAGCATTTGGCAAATATAAAAAAGGTGGAAAGTGCAGTTCTTATTTCTAGAAAAAGGGTCAAAAGGTATTCGTGCCACATCCGATCTGCAACAACAACAACGATGTTGAAAAGGTCAATTTATTGTTAAAGAAAACCAATCCCACCACCAATCTGTTGGTTAACACAGCTCATGTGCTCCATTCAGAAGGCACCTCTTTGGAACATGCCATTAAGAAGGGTAAAAATTCAACATGTAATCCCACGTATTAGGCGTGCCTGACTGGAAATCTGCTCTGGCAAAAAATACGGGATCGCCGCCGGTGTACCGCTCTCCCGTTGTGATAATTGTGTGCATGTCTGCGATCCGGGCCGTCGAACTAATCAAAAACGAATGCCAATCTTTTGGCCTGTTGTGTAAAATAGGAAAACTTTTTGCAAAGCATTTTTCAGTCGACGAGCAAAAGGCATATTTGAGTGGTAATGAGGTTCGTATTGCCGTGGGCACACCCCATCGACTCTCTGTCTTGATCTCAGATGGGACTTTATCTCTGTCGTTGTTGAGGCTGGTAGTTTTAGACCTGAAAAGCGATGCCAAGGGCAGAAACCTTATAGAAAGCAATGATACCTCAAAAGACCTTTCCCTGCTTTTACAAGACCATTTGATGAAGACCATCTGCGACGAGACCAGAATGTTTTTGTTCCATTAAATTACATTGAAATTTTATTCCACTAAAAGCGCAAATGCACCGCACCGGCTTCCAGAATACGGGGCATGTAGCGTCTCTGCGCAGTTTTTTGTGACACATTTAAGCTTTTCTTCAAAGCTAAAAGGATCCATTTACGGCAACATAATGCTCCCATGTTTTAGCGGTTATCATATAAACGCCGTCAAATGTCCCCAGATGCTGTCAAATGTGTCCAAATGCTATCAAATGTGTCCAAATGCTATCAAATGTGTCCAGATGCCGCCAAATCAACCCCAAATCAGAGATGGATCGAAAAGTGCCCAAAGTAAGTATTTCCATCAATGTCAATCATCATCTTATTGTTTAATTGATGCCCTAATGGTATGAACCGTGGCTGACCATGGTCATTTTCGGGGATTTGCATGCATCGTGCTGACACCGACAATATCCGGAAACTTTGGATCACAATCATCGATTTTGAGACATAAACAAAAAGCCTTTCACGAGGAAAAAAGAATAATGCGGTGAAAATGGTTTATAAGCACGGCCACTAGAAAAGTCCCTCAAAACAACTGTGGACACTCTGCCCTCCAATTGATTTTTCTTGGAATACATGACGCGCCTAAATGCAAATGAGATGACATTAAAATGTCGCCAAAACACTTGCAAATTGATTCTTTCCAAAGATTGGTAGCTTTTCGTACATTGGGCCAAAGTGGCCGGTTCTAGAAAACCTCCATTTTGGCAATTCCATAATCTTTATCATATGCACAAAATTTCCAATCCCCACAAATCGGGATTTACTTTCAAATGTTCTAGATTCATTCAGCGTCTTCATGACAACCTCCACATCTGGAGGGTAAGTCAAAATAGAGGAAAGAAAAGCAACGTAAATTTAGTACAGGCAATTCGAGATACCCTGATGTTGTTTATGACGACCCAGCATGTATCTGAATTTTGGGTTGTATTTTTGACAGAATTGACCACCTTTGGTGGCATTCCGCCCCTAAATGCAGATAGATTCTGCTCCAGTTTTTTGTAAAATTTGGATGCAAGGCACATTCATCCCGTCGATCGTCGAAGCACGAGTAAAAAAATCAACGTCTCCATGAATAGAAAATTCCGATCATTGTTAGTGTGGTGCAGTTTAGTTTGCTCCAGCTAATCTCCTCTAAAAGCTCTGCCCGCTTTAATTTTTGACATTTTGTACGGCTTTTCGCCTTTTGTTTGATAAAATTACCTTTCTCCGTTATTGGCTTACCAGAAATGGTTATTGTAAGGGTCAATCGGAATTTTAGATGCCTTTCTTAAAGATGCTCGATAATTAGATGGATATGCACATGCACAGTTCTTTTGAAATGCTGGCCAAAGGCTATCGCTCCTGGGCTTATGATACGCCATTTTAGGAGCAGCCTGCCAGATAAGACTTGGTCAATGGAAAGCATTTCCATCAATGCTTTTGGTGTACCCATTGCTCATTCGTATGTCAACAAACTTACAAGGCTCAAGTTTTCTATGGATTTGGTATTTATTTATCCAAGTACATTTGGACGGCCCCATATTATCCGGCAGTACTTTTCGCGTGATTACAATCAATTGTGGAATACAGGTGCCCCTCTTCAATCAGCCAGTCGATTATGGACCGGGTTTCCGTTTCGGGCATCCTGGTTCGGAGTTGCTTGCAAACGGTATCGATATTAAGCCCTTCATTTGCAACACACCCATTGAACATATTGAGCACCAATTGCTGTTGCGGATTCATCTCCGACCCGAACGAACTAGAGGCCGGCATCGAATATTGCGTCCCATACGACTCATATCCTGCATTGCTTTTTACAATGCAAGCCGACGATGTTTTTTCTGAACAAGGCAATTGCTATGCACTTGGAATGGAACAACCGGTACCTTGGTGTAGTATAAATGTCCAAATAAGCAGCTGGACATGTGGTAAATTATAAAGTTGTAGTCCGTAATAATGGAGAGGTCGTACACATTGATGGACTTTTTGTTTGCAAACGATCGCAAATTACCGATAATCCGCACCCAAGATCCCTCCCTACAGTCAGAAAAGCAACCGTTAGTTCCTACTTGACCGATGAAAGGACGGCGACATTTGGATCGTCTGGAAATGCAGACGGGTCGCTTTCTTGGGTGTCGCCGTTGTCGGCGGCATATTCGTTATTGGAAGAAAGAAATCCAGAAGATGAAGATGCATCAAACCATTTCCTAGCCTCTATTGATCCCGTCCCATCCTCAATGGTAAGGATAAAGCTTGATGGCTGTCTGAGAATCCTCCTAACGCAGCCGCAGGTAAGCATCTTTGTAAAAAACGGTTAACCTACTTGGCTGACTTCGCATCCATCAACCATAAAGGGGGCCTCCGCCGATGGCTGCTCGCTCAAGGCAAGTTGCCTGAGCGTTAAGTGTCGGAGGGTGGGATTGGATAAGTTAGCGCGCTGCAATAAATGGCATGTGTTTTACCTTTGAGAATGGAGATCCGTTCTGAGCACCACTTGAGGTTGGGGAAAGCACAGGCTCTGCCAAAAACCCTCCAGTAGGAAAATCACGTTTGGCCATCATTTGAGGGAAAGTGGGCGATTAAAAGTTAATAAATTTAATTTTTGTTTGAAATGGCTAGGCTTAGCCGTTTGAAGCACTATTGCCAGCTTTGCCAAAGGCAATGTAGCGACGAAAATGGACTGAAGGTACCATACCATTTTCTAGCAATTTAGTGCCATCTCTTTTCAATCACACACAGGAGGAAACAAGAGGCATATGATGCCGATCCAAAGGCATTTTTAGAGGCATACAGTGGGGCATTCCAGAAAGCATTCATTTCCATTCTAAATTCCCAGTGGGGCGGTGGTAAACGGGTATTAGCTAACATCGTATATCAGAGCTACATTTCAGATAGAAACCACATTCACATGAACAGCACCAAGTGGAAATCACTCTCTGAATTCATATGGCACCTAGACAGATCAAAACTGATCAAGGCCGAAGAGGTGGCTTCCCAAGAAAATGGCTGCGATCCTAAAATTTACATTTCCACTTTATCAGATATTTCGTCCGTTTGTGAACGAATGCGTGCAAAGATATCTCAGCCGCACAAAGAGGGCACCGGCCTGGAGCATCTTGCTATCACACAGGCACGTTTGTACAATACTACTCCAACTGGAGAAGCAAAAGAACAACCACTTTCACCATCCATAATTGGGATCAAAGCCAGCCAACCCGAGGAGGACAACAATGGGGAAAGACCAAAAATTTCTTTTAAACTTTGTAGACCCGACAAAAGAATTAAATTTGCTTAAATTTTATATTTGCCATGAACTCGAGGAACCCTGGTTTGGATTATTGATGCTTTTTATTGCTTAGCCGTAAAAAGGTTGCTAAAGGAATTTTCGACCATTTCAAATTCAGAAGCAGAAGGGTTTGTCGCCTTTCCAGCCTCCGTAGAGTGCTCCTCTGCTAAGTTTAGGAAAATGATGTTTTCGACTGGCACTTTGTCATATCTCGTCCGATAGACACCATATATCAAGGGGGGCTTTATCACGGAAGGATTGTGTTTCCGGCAGAATATCCATTCAAGCCGCCATCGTTTAGCTTCCTCACGCCAAATGGGCGCTTCGAGACGAACACTAATATTTGTTTGTCAATTTCTGGGTATCATCCGGAAAACTGGCAGCCAGCATGGGGCGTCAGGACGGCGCTAATTGCTCTCACATCGATGTTGCCAACCAAGAACGACGGGTCCATTGGGAGCATAACCACTCCTGACCACATTACGCGGGACCTTGCCAAAGAGTGAGCACTCGACGTCACTGATTGGGTTTAGATCCGCAAAATGGAAATGCCCCAGATGTCGGAAAAGCAATTTTGAGCTAATGAAGGGAAACATTCAGGCCTCGGAAGATTCAAAGTGCGGGTCTACCGAATATTCGACACAAAATCCCCCAACACCGACCGCCAATCACATTAGCACAATGGTCGCCAATGGGCATCATGAAAAGGATCGCTACATCACCACCCCTATTGTGTTTATACTTTTGGCCTTTGGCTTATTTTTTTCTTTTTTAATCTTTTACACAATTATTGATTAAAATTTTACACGCAATTACTCGTTAGTGATTATCATCACCATATAATTTTGTCGCTGGCGCATTATACGGTTACCAAATTGGAAATGTAAATTTGACAGCCAAATTGGAAATCTAAATTTGACATCTAAATTTAGGGTTGGGGGTGGTGCTTGAAGGAGAGTAAACTTGCACCATAGTGTTGAGAATTCTCATCACATTGTTAAACATCCAAATGATGAGTTCATTTGATGTCCGTTTTTGGGTGCCAAAATTATTGATTGGTGGGCCTAATCGCGATTGAGATTTATTAACTTTGGTGAGCCCAATCGCGATGCAAAATGTGGATATAAGTTTTAATAAGCCAATGTCCACGGGACTGCCTTTAAAGATTGTCGAGAAATCAGGCATTAATCATCTTTTTGATGGTGATGATGAATCGTCCAAATAATTAAATTTAATGAGAAAATATTAGCTAAAAAATGTCGGAAGGTCCTCTAGCGGAAAACATTTTCCTTGTAGATGAGCGAGTGGCCAATGGTATCAGGCATTTTTTTGCCGGCTCAATCGGAGGTACGCTCAATTTTATATTTATGATGGCCAGGCGTCGCTGGACTTGCCATTGGGCATCCATTCGATACAGTTAAGGTACGCATGCAAAACAACATTGGAAACGATCTCTACGGCGGGTCGATGCGAACATTTCTCAAAATCGTAAAGGAGGAAAAGGTGGATAGCCACCCTGATTTATTTAGATCCGAGGACTCTTTAAAGGAATCATTCCTCCGATGATCGGTGTTGGGCTGGTTAATGCCTTTGTTTTTGGTGTATATGGCACGATTCTTAATTCAATCCAGGCCGCCCATGGTAAGGGCTACGTTTGTTCTTAGCGAATTAGTAAGTACATTTGGGTCTTAACGTTCCTAGTAGGGCATCACAATTCACTGTTGCCGTTTTTTGTTGCCGGTGCATGTTCAGGATTTGCCAATTCTTTCATTACGGGCCCTTTTGAGCTAGCAAAATGCCTCCAGCAGCAATCTTCGATAGGAGTGCGCTCTTCTGCTCAATCGAAGCTTCCAGGCACATTTTCGATCCTTCGAGAGGCCTATAGACGCTGGGGCATCTCTGGCCCATGCAGGGGCCTATTAGCTACCATCATAAGAGATACACCTAGCTTTGGTACTTATTTCCTTGCGTATGAAGCAATCATGCTGCATGGTGGGTCTTCTGCCGATGGCATGTCGAAGAATCAAGACTTGTATACAAAATTTGAAACGTACGTGGAGCAATATGGCTCTCACACGTACTCCCCAATTATAACATGTCCATCCATTGTTGAGAAGCCAAACTCGAGCGAATATAACTTCCCACCGCTTTTGCTGACACTGTTTGCTGGGGCTGCCAGCGGCGTGCTAAGTTGGCTTGTCACATACCCTTTTGATGTTATCAAAACTAGAATCCAATCCACCCCGCTCGATGTGAAGACAACAGGCATAATCCAAACATATAAAGCCATGTGCAGACAGACAGGGATTGCATCCCTATTTTGCGGGCTCAATGTAACGCTATTGAGGGCCATTCCAACAAACGCGGTAACCTTCCTTGGATTTTCTCTAGCATTAAATGCATTTGAATCCAAATGGTAGTTACCAAAGGGGGCTCGCCCATGCCAACCCAAACCCATAATCTGTTCGTGTCCATTTTCACATCCAAGTAATAAATTCGATTTATTTGATTTTCAGCACAAGTGCGGGTCCATAGGACATGCAAGCATGTACACCGACATGAAATGTGCCACGCGCTAACCTGAAATAGCAGGGGAGAGGGACAATACAGTCTCGCCACCCTCAAATCTTTCAAGCGAAATTTTGATTCTGTGGTGCCTCCGGCGAGAGGAATCTGGGAAAACCCCCCAAATTTACAAAAGAAAGTCTGTTTTTAGCAGCGAATATCTGGTCCCTGCAAGCTGATCAACATTGGACTCCACCCCAACGCAATTTCTGGCTTTCGCATGATTCCGCCTGTAAATCCGAAGCCCCAGGTCTAAAACAGGGCCACAAGAACCATCTACTTCGGATAGCAAAGTGGCCAGCCTGTGGGTAAACTCAAGCCTCTCGACACAACTGGTATTGAAATTCCCGGGCTTCCCAAATAACCGCTCCTATAATCATCATCTGATTTGCATCAACATACTGCATCCTCGCCATAGCAAAGGAGGGGAAGGCGACATGTGGAAAGGGAGGGCTGCTGCACGATGACGCCAAAAAAGAACGTCCACACACCCTGTGCACTGCAAGTTGGACATGCAGATGCTTCAGATGGCCATGAAAATTTGCAATGTTTGCAATAACGGCGACAAAGCTCGGGCACATTTGAAGGGAAAAATCCCACCATCTTTACCCTGGCCCTGTATATGGCAGGAATCTATGCCGTTAAAATACGAAATACATCTGTCGACAAGATAATGCTAGAAAGATCTGAAAATGGCATTTCAGCATATTGGAATCTTGTAACGCTCGGCGGCTCAATCATAAGCAACCTGCTAACCCCAGAATGCTCTCTCCGCCTACACTTGATTACGAAAAAAAGAAAACCTCAACAATGGCTGACAAAAAGAGACACCAGCGGGACTATCGATTGGGATAATCGAATGGGATGCAGGGAGTCCGCAGCCGTGCATGACGGCAATAATTTCCTCCGAGTCACTTCCAGGACAAATCGGGCGGGCATGAAGATTTTTGAAGTAGGCGATTCGCCCAACATGTAAAATCTCTTTTGCAATCGGTACATGTTCATCCCAAAACGTACAAAGAAGCTTATCAGCGACCACGTTCTGCTGATGACCAAGAGAATCGGCTCCTTCAGCAACAATTGTCCTTCACATAAGCAAGGAAATGCCAACCTTAGCCGCTCATTTGCGGTGTAATCACCCAACACGACGGTCATCATCATTTCAGGATTTTCTGCCTCTTGGGTGTTGCAAATGTGTATCACCTAACGCTTAGAACTGGCATCTATACCTCTGCCACGAGATCAAAGTAACACCCAGCTCTGATATCTTTGACTTCGCGCAGTTTCTTAAAATTGGGAGCAAACGCATGAGAATGGCCATTTTGAGTGAATGTTGGCATAGGGAGCGTTTCTGCTCTTGTGGGTGAATCGGGTCCACAGAGAGAAGCCCATGTGGGCCTGATGTCGTTCTTACAAAGCTTGGACCACCAGCTGTACAAAGAAGCTATCCGATTAGAGTCCGAGCTCACAAGCGGGCTAGTTGAGGCGTGTCTGCTTACTGAAGGGCGAGGCTCCCGGTCCCTTGTGATCACAACAAACGAGAACCCTTTGGTATTGATTCCCATTAACTCGCCCTTGTATCCCTGTATCTAGAATAGCCAAGCGGGGCTTACCTTGACTCGATGCAGACGGATTGCCTCTCCAGCAGACGCTATTTGTGGAAAGTCCATATGGCTTTTCAGAAATAAATTAACCACGAATGGGGATGAATTTTCTAGCGAATGGTCGACCATCAGCAACTTCATAAATAAATCTAATGGTCAATGGCACAAAAACGCCAACCTTTTCCTTGACACGTACGAGGCTCAATCCATTCCACCACAAGACCAAGCAAATCTACCACTGTATTCGACATAATTGTCGCAAGCTGGGGATAGCAGTGGCGATCTGTTTTTGCCGGAAAATCGTCCTTTACTTCGGCCTTAAAAGACAAAAGGGGATTATTGGCCGATGCTTCTGCAGATACCCGGCAGATTCTGGAAACGGGATTGATTATCTTGGTGCCCAACGAGGGCGAAACTAATTGCAGATGGATAGCCTCTTGTAGCGATTTCGCATATAAAATAAGCCGGATCGAAAATGGAATCATCCCACTCCAATTAACTACCAAATGGGGATGCATATCGTCTTGGTGAGTGATCATGCAATTTTCGATCGAAACAGGGCCACTTATAATGACTTTGTCCTACGAGGTAATCCAACTCGGGTGCATACATGTCGTGATGGAATGGACAAAAGATTTGCAACCTCCGAAGCAAGGGTCACGAAAAGACGTCTCTTTTCAGAAAAAGAATCGAAAGGAGAATACGTAATGACCGACCTTTCCAGACCGGATGCAGAATCATCCTCAAGAAGAACTCGACATATGCCGCCCTTTAGCGAATATGTTGATATGACGGTGCCTCTGATAAACTCATCGAAACTTTGCAAGCGTCTCAATTCATAAAGGTCGTCAAATGTACGTAGAATTCCGCCGACACTGGACATGAAAAATTTGCAAATTGAAAATTTTGCCTCAAAAAATCAATTAAAAGCACGCCATTTGTGTGGGCCTTGAAAATTGAGAGGAGCATTTGACATTGCCAGCACGCCTTTGATCTTTCTTTACTCGGTTAGTCATCTAATTATTTGACATCTTGTGATTTACAGCACTGTCGTTGATAAATTTGACATCACATTCTGCTGTACTTAAATGAAGTTCTCCATTGCGTTTTTCCTTGTGCTTCTTATTCCCATTCTGATTGTCGTTTATCATGGCATTTATCAGGACGTCCATTGGCTATTCTCGACCTTATCGGAACTCTCACGCGTCAATACCGAAATCAAAAGCTCTAACGTGTCACAACCATTAGTTAGGATATCCAAGGGCTATATCCTAACCCCTAAAAATGTCACTAACGGCTTTCGGCCGTGTGAGACGCCTTCCCGGCCCCCCTTAAAATTCGAAATCATCAATTTGCGATCGATCTTTATGTTCATCGGGATGCTCACCTTTTTGACATCTGCACTAACTTTAATATTTATAAACCGCAATCTGTTGCGACTCCAATAAAAGGTTGAACTTGGGCGTGCTTTAAAATGTAAAATCCGGTTTCTGAGCCGACTACAACTAAATGGGCAATTTTGCAAAAAAGCCCATGCTCGACCACCCCAGTGATCGAAGAGAGCCTCCGTTCAATATCCATCAAACCGCAGAAAACTCCATCGCTTGAAGAGGGCGGCTGTAAATCAGCAACGATATGCCCTTGATCGGAAATGACGGGCCCAATTTTGCCGGATCCATTTCGAAGAACGAGGGCAAAATTCATCTTCTCACACTCCTTTTTCACCAAAGGATATGCTTCTGGAACAATTGCCAACGGGATGCCTTTTCTCCACTACACTGAACACCAAAAGATATCTACCTTATGACCGAGGCAGTTTAGCTTCCCAACCTTATCAGAATCAACGATTACAATGAACAGTTTTGCAGAAAGAGCTACAATTTTCTCCAGCAAATGAGCACCGCCGCCACCTTTAATTATAAAAGACCCAGAAGAATCAACTTCATCAGCACCATCGATGGCAATGTCTAGCTCAGCATTAGGGGCCTGCGAAAGAGCGGCCAGGGTCATTCCCGAGCTGATGATCAGCTGTTGGGATTGGAAAGAGGTTGAAACGGCAAAGCAATTCTTTGCAAGGTCGCTTTTAAGCCGGGCCTTTAGTTTTTCCATAAAAACAGAAATCGTGGTTCCAGTTCCGATTCCAAGCCAAGCAGACCCATTTAGACTAATTGCCTTTTCGATTGTTTCGATGATTTGCGGAAGAATCGCCTCAACAGCATTGTCTCGACTTTTGGCCACTTGGCTGGACATTTAAATTTTAATTTGAAATAAAATTTCGTCCAATGTTGTCTCCCAGTTCTGCAAGAAATCAAGCCTTGACGGATGCCTTTGACAAGGCCAAGCTAAGCATCATCGAAAAATTCAGGTTTTAGCTCTGCATTTTATTCTAGTTTTGAAAATATCAAGGAAATATTTCCAGAATCGCTGACGTCTCCCTCTGTGGATAGTAGTGTGCTTGAAGAGGCCCATGTTCGAGCGAGGACAATTCTTTCCGACAAACTTACGGTAGGCCATTTTGGGCCTGACATTTGTATAGAGCATGTGGAACGAAACAATGGTGAAGAATCAGGTTGAAGATGCGCTCTCCGTCCTAGATGCTGTCATTGACCATTCCGAACTTCTTGATCCATCGTTTGAAGTACCGCCATTTCCTTCATCAACAGAAAATATATTAGATGATGAGTTAAGGACAAGAAGAAACAACCAACTCAATTTCTTAATCCGGCTTCGAAGCATATTGTGAGCAAACTTGGTTTCATTTTAGGAAGCAAGAAACAGCAGAGGAAATCCAACGGGCCGTCAATGTAGCACACCATGTGTCTGAAATAGAAAACCTGGACTTGACGATTCGAGATGTATGTGCTTTATTATTTACGCGTTTGCTAGCTAAATCAGCAAAACGAAGAGTTGCTACAGAGCATCTCGAAGGTGCAGCAGGAGCTTGCATCCAAAGGGGAGCATATTGTTGCCTTTCAGAAGAAATGGCAAAAGGCACCGCCATACTACTAACTGACCTGTAGACATGGGATACGCTATCGGAAGCCACCTGCTATATCAACCTCAAATCGCAAAGTGAGCCTGCCAAAATGGACATCTAAAAACTGGGAGGTCATTTACGATAGCTACGGCGGGGAAACGGGCAAATCCGATCTCAAATACAACTGTTCACTTTAATTTTCTTTAATAATGGAAATAGCAATGCCCATAATACTACTTCGCTCCATTTGGAAATCTGAAGGCGTTTGATGTGTTGGAGATCCATAAAAACTACGGATAAGCTATGCGGCGAAATCAACTGCTTGCCCCGTACAATTTGATTGGTTCTTTAAATAATCTGGAAAGGTCGGACTCTAATAGCGCAAAAAGACACACGGAGGAGTCTCTATGGCATCTCCATCCTCGGATTGGATCCGATGGATTCCAGTTGAATCTTCTAGGCCCCGAAATTGGAGAGGAGAACCAAAGTTGCAAGTTTGGCGGCTGCTTATTGATGACAATGGTATTGGAGGTGCCACATTTGAGAGTTAAAACGCCGCTGGAAAGTGTAGCATCCACGCTATCGTATGAAGGAACACGGCCAACAATCTTGGTATCAAAGGCGTCAAAGAGACTTTGAAGCGTGTCTTCTGCTGCCCGCTCATATGTGACCATGGCTCTGGTAGATGCGAAGCGGCCAAGCAGGGAGGCCCTCATTTTTAAAAAATTGACGCCTTTAATTTAGTTTAACCGCAGGGCTTACACCAATGCTTTCGGATTCTTCTCTTCAGCAAACATACGTTTCCATTTATCCCAAGTTGGTCGCAAAGTTGCGAGAACATCTCTGCGGCTACACTCCAGCTCTCCCGCCATCATTGATAGATAGCATTTTTTCTGTATTCCCTATCCTCCTATTTGTAGATGCTGGAATATAATATCGAGGGCGGCAAGATGATCCGCGCAAAGCTGTGTATTTCGGTATTTGAGAATCTCCATGCTGCTGATTCGTGTTTCCCGATTTCGGTTGAAGATGTCTGGGTTGTGGGCTGGGCAATCGAAATTGTAGCATTTGCCCATTAAATATGTAGATGCAAACGTTTTTTTTGGTCGCCGATGACATTATGGACGAATCCTGCCTTCGCAGAAACAAGTTGTGCTGGTACAAAAAGGTTGGATTATCTGCAATAAACGACTCTATTCTGTTGGAGTCTTTTTTATTCTTGCTTCTCAAAATGCACTTTCAAGATAGACCCCATACGCATATCGGGCTGTTCTCCCTATTTAGGGATGTGATCCTAAGAACCTCTCTAGGACAGGCTTTGGATATGAAGTGCGAATCGTTGAAATCTCCCCAAATGAGCTTTGAGAGGTTTGGCTGCTGTGTTAAGCTTTAGGTATCAGCAAATCGTTGTGTATAAAACCGGCTTTTACACATTTTATCTTCCCGTCAAGTCTGCTCTCATTTTGAAGGGAATCGATATCGATGACGCGCATTTGATGCCGATTCTTTTGGGGCTGGGCGAATTGTTTCAAATTCAAGTACACCTACGGTGGGTATTTTAAACTGCTAGGACGATTACTTGGATTGCTTTGGAGATCCATCGATAACGGGTAAAATTGGCACCGACATCCAGGACTTCAAATGCTCTTGGTGTGTGCTCACTGCCTTATCAATAGACGGCGATGCCTGTGATGTTTTAAAGGTTCGTTGGTGTTTTACTCTCTTTAGGAGAATTATGGAAAAGAATCTGGCGTTGAAACCGTGCGTTCATACTACAAAAGGCTGGATATTCCCGCCATCTATGAGCGAGAATGTTTAAGTCGGAAATCCAAGCTGTCCGGTGTGATATTGGAGAACAGCCACTTGCCAGCAGAACTGAAAGCAATCCTGCAGGGTCTAGTGGATCGACTATTACACAGAAGTAGCTGACAACTTTATTTGTACGGCAATAAATTGTTGCCAAATTTTGAGTGCTCATGATGGCCTTATTGGAGCCCAACCATATTGTACTTGTTGTATAGCATCATGTTTCGCTTCATCAGCACAAGCAAAGGGCCCAGCAGCCGATTAAAGGCATCGACTTCAATTCGCAGCACCGAAAGCGGGTTGCTTTGCGCTATCACGGTTGCCGCGCGTGGCTGTTTGGTTATCAGCGACATTTCGCCAAAATAGTCTCCAATGACGAGCGATTTCTCCTGCTTTCCATTGATGCAAACATTTGCATTGCCCTGGGAGACAATGTAAAAAGAATCGCCAATATCACCTTCCCTTATTACAACCTGGTCCTTTTCGTATGAAATTTCCTTGATGCAATCAGAAAGCTTAGACAACTCAAGCTGGGACAGCGTAGAAAACAGAGGAATGTTTTTCAGAAACGATTCATATCTCTTTCGTCGATTGTAGTTGTGGTTGATGACGATTTTCCTGAATGTCAATCTGTCAATTGCCCAAAGAGAGCCGGATTCACTGCTGCAAATGACCGTTGCAGCGCGTGGGCTGTTGTAAAGAAGGGCCAGCTCACCAAAAGAGGCCCCGGTGCTTATGGTTTCATATTTTTCGCCATTGACAACGATGTCAAACACCCCGTCTTCGATCACATAAAAGAAATCGCCCGAATCGCCCTGCCTTATGATGACATCATCTGCCTTTGTAGGCCGTTCAAACATACATGAGATCTAAAGGAATCAGCTAAAAATCGATCACGTACAATGTCGGTCAGTTGGTTCTTGTCCAGTTCCTTGAACAGGATATTTGACGAAATGGCTTCTTTAATTAGTTTACAAGATGATTCTGATTTGGGATAGTGCTGTTTTGGCGGCTCTTCTTCAAGGGCATAGTTTGCATTTACGCCGTCCGGGTATGGAACACATTCTGCCGATACCGACCCTCGTCGCAAAGAAATGAGGCTGGAAATTTTTTCGGTCGGTGGTGGACATACATATTCGGGTGTAAAAGAGGCGCCGAAATTTCTCTGAACCGCCGAAGCATGGCCAGCAATGGTCAGGTTGGAGAATAGGGCATTTTGGCTTTCCAATTCGGCGATCAGGCTTTCTTTTTCGGGCAGATCGTGCTTCTCCTTACTTAGCGCATATATACAAGCAGATAGTGCCAAAAGCCTGCTGGTGTTCCTAAGATCTGGGTGCAAAGCAAGCTTTCTGTAAATGTACTCGCATGATGCCTAGGCAGGGAAAAATTGGTGTAACTTGCCTCAAAAAAGATCTTCAGATCAGACTCAAATGCTTCATATGTGTTATCCATTGCAACCCTAAAAAATGATTTTGATTAAATTTGATCATCTGTGTATACAATCCAAAATTGATTGTGCCGCCTGTAAGTTGCATTAGCGTTTAGCGCTGGTTTTGGGTGGCAATTTTTCCCGTGTCAAAATACACGCTGCGCCAATGTTCTCCTCCAACGTGATGCCCATCAAGGTTGAACGCCAATATTCACCTCCAGCTTCAAAGTATGCCAATCAAATTCTGAGCCCTGTTGTTCTGGAAGAGGTCCCAAGAAGCGCCGAAGATGGCTATTATATGACGGAGTATTTTCGCCTGCCATTTGGAATAGCCTTGATCCCTCAAAAGAATGTGGTGATCTTTCTGTGCTTTCTAGGGCTGTTTGTTGCTTATATCATTCGGATCTGTCTATCCCAGGCCATGATACCGATGTCGATTCACTATGGATGGGAGGAGGCCATCCAGGGACACATATTTGCTGCGTTTTATTACGGATATTTGATCACCCAAATACCAGGGGGGTGGGTTAGTCAAATATTTGGCTCAAAATACGTCATCCTTTGTGGGATTCTGGGATCTTCCGTTCTAAACACCCTGGTGCCAGCGGCCTCAAGCAATGTCCGTTTATTTATTGCCGTAAGAATGCTTACCGGCTTTGTCCAAGGTGTAAGAGGATCTCTTAATTTAAAGATAGGTATTTTATCCTTCCTGCCTTCATTTACTATCTTGTTGGGTCGAGCCGAAACACAGATCAATCGCAGTGGCGTTTGTGATTTCGGGACAGCATTTGGGGACTGCCGTAGCTCAGGGTGGCTATCCGCTGCTGGCGACGCGTCTAGGCTGGAGAGTGCCCTTTTATTTAATCGGCGTTCTTGGATTTGTTTGGTCGCTTTTTTGGGTTTACTTGATCAAGAGCAAGCCGACAATCCCAATGCCCTCGACCACATCTTCAATCCTAATTTGCAGCTCCCCCGTCAACGATGAGACACAAGGCGGCGGCAATGTTGGCGATTTACAAGAAATATCGCCTATCGAATACTCCTCAGGCATGACAACCAAAGATTCGCTTTCGCCTTGGATAACGTCAGGAACATCCTCATTTATCATTCAAAAGCCCCCTTGGTATGATTTCTTTTTCCATCTGTCGGTGTGGGCTTATTTTGTGCTGTTTTTCTGCTATAATTGGTCCTTTTATTTACTTGTCGCATATTTGCCCAAATACTTGGCCACCATTCTCGGGTTTTCCGCTGGAACGTCCGGAAAAATCACCGTCACCGCGTACATTGGGCTATATGCAAGCATTCTTGTTGGTGGGCGGCTTTCCGCTTCGCTTATGTCAAAGAAAAGATACAGCCCCACGTTCACTAGAAAATTGGGCGTTTTCATCGGATTGCTTCCTTCAATCTTATTGTTGCCTGCCATTGGAGCCGGCATATTTCAAGATCGCAACAGTATAGCAACTGTACTTGTCATAAGCATTGCTGCGACCGGATTTGCCCAGGCCGCCTATGCGCCTAATCCGATGGATTTGTTTCCCAAGTCACCCGCCATAGTTGCCTCGATTGGTAATTCCATCGGAACACTGCCGGGATTTCTATCCTCAATTATGGCCGGGTGGATCCTGCAGAAAGGAAATTGTGGATCTGCTTCTGAAAAGATTTGGAATGATTTACATGTTGGATCCCCGTCTCCATTCAATGCCCCTCCCATGTGTCTCACGGCATGGGGCTTGGTGTTTGGGAGCTGCGCCGCGGTGTATTTATTTGGCTTGGTAATTTGGCTTTTGTTTGCGTCTGGGGTACCAATCAGACCAGCAGCACGCTTCGGATCATCACATCCAATGAGGGGGGCAAGTGGGCGATGCTAAACGATCAAACATGGGTTCGAATAAATTTATGTATATAACACCGACTGCAGTGACAGCCCAGCACCAGTCAGTTGACCCTATGCATGCATGTACACACACACGTGTACCACAATTGAATTTAATTTCCAATTCAATAACAACCATCAAGTTTAGCCAAAATTTAAAAACTTTTGTCCAGAATGAACCATAATTTGGGTGTTCATGTTTTGCCCGGGTTTCCCATTCTGGACGGAGAACAAAATGTCCTGTGTATCTAGAGCTTATTCGGCTTATGAATAAGTTCTTCGTAATCCGGAGATATTTCATCTGTAAAAACTATATCAATGACAGTGCATAGTGGTCCTTCAGATAGCTAATAGTGTCCCATTGATGATCAAACGCCATAACAATGCCCTCCGTATTTATAGAGCATATCCAGGCCATAAACAGGGGCAAGTCACTTGGCGGTATTACCTCCGAAAAGGAGGCCAAGTTTATCACACACGCTATGTTGCAATTGCACACGAAAAGAGAGACGGACGTGAACAGGTCTTGTATGGAGCCTAGCTTTTGAATGATTCTGATTTTTTTCAGAATGCCGATGGACGGAGACACCAACAAGTCAGGCCCGATGGGCGCGTTTTGGTGTTGCAATATTAGGATGGCATCTGGCAAGGTGTTGCTCGCCAGGGACTCTGCATGGCATTGCGTTGCCTTCCACAGTTGATGCACATCTGTTTTTTCAGATACAGCGTTAATTTGAAGCATAGCTTGAATGAAATTAAATTTTACCGCCATGCAAGCTAGCAATCGCTTGGAAAATAATTTGAAAAGGAGGTATTTGACGTGCTTCCCTTTCGTCGATGGTCACCACCACTGCTGCCATTTGCGCGATCATCGGCATGATCGTGATCATCAAGCCAAACATAGTATTTACAGCGAGTAGAAGATGCTTTCACACAAGTGGCATAGGGCCTTCCAACATTGGGGCCGCCTTTGACGTTAGAAACCTTTGCAATCAGGCCACAATTGCACTTTAATGTGGGGTCAGATAGGTCTGCAGACGCACAAGATTGATCTCTTGGCCTTTTTGCGCCATTTGCGCCTTTGAACCTGGTTTGATTTGCATGCAAATCTAAGGAACCACCACGAGTTTGTCTGGGAGCGTTTACGGTGTTTTCAACATCATCTGCCCATAAGAAAGCCCCGCAACTGGAGCCCTCTTTAAGCGAGCAGACATAAAAGAATCGGCCGGTATTTGGCCCACTCTTGCTCACCTTCCTTTTAACAACGGGAAGGTTGCAATTGCACAAATGGACAGCGTTAGCATCTTCAACATTGTCGCTGTACCCACTGGTGGGGCTAGATGTCTTGGTTGCTTTTTTCGACTTGGCTTTTGGCGGTTTGCAGGGTTTTCTCTTTTTGCCATGCTCGTCAAAGTCATCATGGTCGCTGGTGGTGTTTCGATATTCATCATCTTCATTTTCGCGCGAAATGAAAGTGCCGGACTGCTCACTGGGCGCATCTTGTTGCCAGCCAACAGAATCTGCCTCTGCGCACATGTTTGAAAATGCCTAAATAAACTCCACATTCGCCATACATTATCGAGGAGATGTTTTGACGAAATCATAAGCTTGTAAGCATCGACAAACGCTTTGATGTAGTTTTGTAGCACAAATGTTTTCTCCAACTGGCCCATGCATACGGCATTAAGATCTTCTTCCAGCTAAAAATGTCAAAAACCCCGATACTTGTCTTCTGAGCATAGGCTTGGATAGCGACATTGAAAATCCGATCGAGTCAAAGCCGGCTATTAAAGCAATGCCAAGGGGCGATGGTTCAAGTCTGCGATCCTTTGTCCTCCTAACATAGCCTCGTGTGATGACGGTGTTTATATGGTCATGAATTGTTGCGTCAGTTCCTAGTATCAAGCTCAAAGAACCTACCAATTCCATTCCGATCCATAGTTGCAATCAGATCCGATTCGGATAGCAGCAGCGGAGCTGTTGTCCTTCCAGCGTCAATTTTCAATTCCTTTGGCATGATCTTTTCGTTCAGCGTAAACTTTGGGAGTGTAACTGCACTCCAAGTCTCATATGGCTGATAAACCTCAAGATAATTTAGTTCTGTCGGATATGAGCCTGGAGGAAGAAGGAGAAAAGCATGCGATATATTATACCTTCGCAATGGAATGACTCTTCATCTCGAATTGTCAATGTGGCAGAGGCTTTAAATCCAACGGCATCCTTTGAACAGCAGGCCAGAAATCTTCTCGTGATGTACTCGTAAATTTTGAATTCTTCCCCTTCCAACTCGATCCCGGGCTTTGTGGGATGAATGGGTGGATGTGCCTGGTCATCTTTTTTTCCTTTTCTTGGAGGCTGGAATAATTCGCTTTGCTCTGCAATAAGCCTACCAAAAGGACCAATCGACAATACCTTGCAGCAAAAGGGCCCCATTTTGGATGATTGCTTTGCTGCACAATGAGGGGCTTAAAATCAAACGAGGCTGGAAATACTTCGGTCTCCGTTCTTGGATAGCTGATGAATCCCCGGTTGTATAACGATTCGGCAATCTAAATAAACAAACAAGTCTCCCACCTTCATCAGCTTGTGGGATGAGATTTTCAAGTAGCTTGATGCAAATTTTTGTAAAGCAATCGTTGTCAGCGGATATGGCTTGCTAACGGGAAAGAAAAGTATGCAATACTATTTCGTTGTAGGGCTTTCAGCGTAGCTAGTAACAGTGGCCAATGGCGATTGCAGCAATCGCTCGAGAATCAACGTGGCAATAAGTGGGTCAAACAATCGACTCCGCCCCCATGCCAGATGAACGGTCTGGGTAGCCTTTTCGATTTCGAGCTTGATAGCCCAAAAGGGCTCTGAAATGAAATTTTTTCTTCGCCAATATTGCTCGACAACAAATCCCAAAGTGGGGAACTGGCAAGGCCCATAACTGATAATGGTTTTTGAATTTGTCCTTTGATATGCAAGAGTCAGAAATCTGGTGAATGCGCATCCAGTTCTGAGGTCGATTTCTTGTCGGACCTCGACAGCTTTGGCCTGGTTATAGTCCAGCTCTGTCAATCTTGACATTGAATAGTAAATGTCTTTTGCAGTGACCGAAGAATATCTTGCTCGCTTGACGCAAAGATGTGTGTTGACTTGAAGACAGATCTTGGCAATACTAGAGCCTATGGCCTCTCCCTCCCGATCACAGTCGGTCCAAAGGATCAACACATCACAATTGCGAGCCTCTCGCTCCAGCGTCTTAAAAATGCCCTTGTTGTTCTACATTAAATATGCCAAGTGCCTGTACCTTGGAATCGTACTTGGATAAAAGCGGGGCGTAAAGAAGTTGCAATGGATCCACTTTTTGCCAATTTGAATAATCTTCAGAAAAATCGAGGCTCTCAATGTGGCCAAGAACGGATGTCATTATCATGTCTGCTGCAGCACCCTCGACATTGTGATATTCAAAGTCATATACACAACAATACTTGTTTATTCCGGGTCTCTGCAGAGTAGTGGAAACCAAAATACCCTATTCAGCTGCCCCTTGGATAGGATAAAAGCTATAGATTTCGCCATGGCCGGTTTTTCTGCAACGTTAAGCACTCGTCTTCTCATGTAAAATGAAAATTTTCTCCACGCGCAATGAAGCCAAAAAATTGGTTTTGCAATTTCCTGTTTTATTTTTGGCTAAAAAATACAAAATTTTAATCAGACACAACTGGACGTGCCCTCCGTAACGCAGAGAACACGGAAAGCCCATTTTGTATGTCTGTGACAGCGGCATGCCACTGAAGCCTTTCCCTTGATGCCATTGTGGACCGGAATTGCCTACGTGAAGCATTTTCTTCTTCCTCCTTAGCAGAGATGGATGAGATGTAGTTTAAGATGAAAAACAAAGGAAGGCAGGTTGCCCCAATCAGAATTGATGCAGCCCATTCGAGCTTTGATAAAGGGACGGTTCCAAAAACGGTGCCGCCATATTCAACGATCAAGAATTGCCCAAGAATCGAAAAAAAAAGCACAGAAAGAGAAATATGGTTGTCGAGCATGTTTTTGAACGGGTTGAAAAAAAACTTGTGCGCAATGCTTGCCGCTGAGCCTGGAAGCGGAGGTAGGGTGCGGCATAAGATTTCATTCCATAATTGCATCATCACAAAAGTATTGAAGACAAATGTCTTGTGTGTGTCAGAAAGGAAGCTAATCATGAGTAAAAGTACGACTATCTGGAAAAGAGCCATCCCAAGAATTCGTATCCACATCCCCTTGGTAACAAGCTGTCTATTCAACCCCTCTGGCTTTCTATCGAGAAGCTCTGGAGTGGGCCCATCTGTTGCCAAGGCAAGAGCGCCAAGGGTGTCCATCAACAAATTGACCCAAAGAAGCTGTAGTGCATTAAATGCACCCCGACCATCTGAATTCAGCAAAGCTGAAATAAATGCCACCACAACGGCAGAGATATTTACGGTCAATTGAAATAGCAAAAATTTTCTTACAGAATCTCCAACACATCGGCCCCAGCTGATGGCCTTGACGATTGAGGAAAACTTGTCATCCATTAAAATGATCGAGGAAGCTTGCTTTGCAACTTCAGTACCAGTGATGCCCATTGAAAACCCCACGTGGGCTGATCTTAATGCAGGTCCGTCGTTTGTGCCATCTCCCGTTACCGTGACTATATCGCCTAAAGCCTTCAGCTTATTTACAAGAATTTGCTTGTCTAGGGGAGAAGATCGAGACAAGACCTGAAGACGAGGCACGATCTTGTTTAACGTGGCTTCATCAAGAGACCGGAATCTTGGGCCTTCAATGGCAAGCCCGCCTCTCATCAATATTCCAGCTCTTTTAGCAATTGAAGAGGCCGTTTCTAGAGAATCTCCAGTAACCATTCGGATGGAGATACCCGCTCTCTGGCAAGATAATACCGCTTTAGGGACATCTTCTCTCAAAGGATCTTCGATACCAACCATTCCAATGTATACTCGACTCATCTCCGATGAGTCATCGCCGGTAAAGTAATCCATACCACCGGCAGATTTACCTACACCATCATCGGGAGAATAATAAGCAAAGGCTATTGTCCTCAATCCCATGCGTGAAAGACGCCACTGTGTAGCTTTAATTGCAGCATCGTCAATAGGAACTTTTTCAACCGTTGCATGGGTAGTTGAGTTGATCGATAGCTGCATAGAGCAACTTGCCAGAATAAGTTCAGGGGCGCCCTTGATCAATATTAAGGGGGGTCTCCCAGCTTTAGATTGGTCAATCGAAACTTTCATCATCTTTCGCTCAGAACTAAAGGGAACCATATCAGCAATAACTTTTCCAGACTGGATTGAATTTACACGCTGCATGCACGGATCTTCGATTCCGAGCTTTTGGAGCATTTGCAAAAGCGCGACTTCAGTTTTTGAGCCGATAACAGAATCCTTGTTTTGGTCGCCAAGGGATGGAATTATGGCTGTAGAGTTTAGGATGATCGAATCAACAAACAATTCCTTTTCTCTGGCATTTTCTTCGAACAAAGGAAGCAATGGGCGCAGCAGATCATCATCCTCATAGCCGGAATGGCAATTCGATGTCGACGCATCCTCGCTGATGTCCTCCTCAAATTGCCCGTAGAAATCTTCCTCCAAAGAGCCCTTGTCTTCTGAAATGACGCCAAAAGCGACGCCAAAAAGGGATCCACCAACCACCGACATTTGATTGGTAGTCAGGGTCCCAGTTTTATCTGTACAAATGCAAGTAGCAGAGCCCATTGTTTCACAGGCTGACAAAACACGGACGAGATTATTTTCGGCCGTCATTTTTGTTGAGGCAAAAGCAAGGGTTAGGGTTACCGCCATTGGAAGCCCCTCCGGCACAGCAACCACCAAAATCGTAACCGCTTGAATAAATATGTTCGTGATGGCTAGAATGAGATCAGAAGGGTTTGTAAGCAAATTTCGCTCGGAAATCAGCAACTTTATCAAAAGAGAGCCAAATAAAAGCAGCGCAGAGGCTATTCCAAAATATGCTATTTTCTCTGCCAAGTTGAAAAGCTGCTTTTGTAAAGGGGTGATTGATGGAGCACCCTGCTGACCGCTACCGTCATCCATCATGGATGTCATAATTTGACCATGGAGTGAATGGCGTCCCACAGCCAGAATCAGCATCTTTCCTATGCCTTCGCAAACGGTCGTTCCAGACAATAAGAAGTAGTCGTCATCATTGCCCTTCCTGATAGGCTTTGATTCGCCAGTTAAAGAAGATTCGTCAATTACTAAAGAATGGCCGTCAACAAGTATTCCATCTGCTGGAATAACCTCGCCAGCTTCTAGAAGCACAATATCTCCAACAAGTAGGGTGAAAACTGAGACCATTTTTTCTTTGGAGTTGCGCAAGACGTGTATTTGGCGATCGGTATTCTTTTGATGCAGGGAACGAAATTTCCGATCCTTGACCCAATCGTTGAGGGAAGAAATTATCACCACGCTAAAAACGGCAGCTAAAATGGCAGCGCCTTCCAACCATTCGTGGGATGTAGCATCTGGAACAAAAAGCATCCGATAAAAGCCAATGATTAGTGAAATGAACGAGGCGATCATTAGCATGATGAGGGTTTTATCGTGCATTGCGTCCCAAATGAATCTAAACAAAAGCTTTGACGGCGGAGTAGGGAGTTTATTTTCGCCAAAAAATAGAACCCTTTCACTAGAATCTTGATCGCTGAACATCAGCCCGTGGTCGGCGTTTGAGCGCAGCATATCTAGCAGGCCAGGAATGCCGCCATAATGCTCAACTTGTGAACATGACTTTTCTGCAACGAGTTTGGACAGCTCTTCAGGAGCCACCGCAGTCATATTGGTCATGTTGAAATCGATCAATGCAATGTTAATTAAAATCAATCACCAATTGGCCCCAATTATGGGCAACATGAAACCAATAGGAAACCAAATTTAAATCAAAATGCAAACTGATCTATCCACAACATTTAAAAAATATTCAAATTAATTTGATGAACAAATATGTGGATCGGATCCGATCGATGTTTCAATAAATTGGATTCTTTATTTGGCAGCCGCAAATTTTTAACTATCCAGCCGATCATGGATGGCCTACTTTTGGGGCTACAATGCAGCACTGGTCCTATTTACCAGGTACCTCTGATAACTATAGCTGCGTTCCGTTTGCCGTATTGCACCCCGCCATATGTGTCTGTCTCTGTTGTAACGCGATTGTCACATTGCCAAATTAGGGTTAATTTAATTTAATTTAATTTAATTTAATTTAATTTCATTCAATTCAATTCAATTTAATTTCATTCAATTCAATTTAATTTCATTTTTGATGCTTCCCGCAGCAGCCGCTGCGGGCTATTCCTTTATCAGATACAAGTTTGCATCTGCCAACTACTTTGATACTATTCACTGTGAAGGCCTAAGTATGCCCCTCTGGGAGCTTAGAGATGAAATCATAGCAGCCAAGAGGCTCGGCCGCCTTATCGACTGTGATATCCACCTATTTGATGAACAGACAAAGGAAGAATATTTGGATGACAACTATTGCGTGCCCAGAAACTCGCTTGTCATAGTAAAAAGGCTCCCAAAATCCATCAACACTACGTCTGCAAACAGAGGGCTTGGTGGCGGCCGAATGCGGACCATGGCTGTGATGCAAGAATCCGCCCAGTTCGGCAATCCCAACCAATCTCGCCAAAATTTTCAAGTGCCGCTCAATGAGCAGGCGGTCGAGCAGAAGCCTATTCTTGGCACTGGGCTTTCTACGTATCTAACCCTAACCCTTTTTATCATAGGATGACCCCGGAGGTTTTATTGCATTGTCACTAATAGATAGCTTTTGGAAGAAGAAGCCCGTATTCAGGCCATGTCTAGGGCTACCTCGGAAATGTTTACAAAACACTTGGACATGCAGGAAATTCTTGGATTATCCCAGTATCGGTTCTCGCTTTATTTTTGTAGGGCAGAGCGATTTTCGACGAGAAAACCCCAACTCCAGCAAGCGTCATCGACACACCAGCCTTCAGGAAGAATTCCACATCCCAATTACATCTGCTATCGATGCGGATCAAAAGGTTTGCCATGATCGACACTTAGTGTAGATCATTATATTTCCGACTGCACCTATGGAATGGTTCTTTCTGCCGATGGGAAGCTGCAGCCCATGCAAATGATGAAGCGCGTAACGGGAATCCCGAAGACATTCTTGGAGCAGGCTAAGGAGGAGGAGGAGTCCCCCAATGCCCGCCTGGAGACAAAAAAGCGGATGATTTCATATGACGGCTCCATGGTCTACTTTGCGCCGAACACTCGCGAATGGAACAAGTTTTCGTCAATGGCTGCTGCGGAATGCGAGGAGCCCTTTGTAGAGGCCGATGACGACCCCGACCATTAATTCCCACCCTACAATTACTAAATGGACGCTTTGGCGAAGCCGCAGAGCATTTCAGCCGCAGCATGTTTATTGGTGTGCAGATTTTAGCACCTGATCGCTTTGTCAATGGAACTTGAATTTTTGATGACCGATAATCAAATGATTGCTGCAATTTTAAATTTTTAACTGCCAAATTTGACTTAAATGAATTATTCGGGTGCGTGACTAATTTACACCAATGAAACGCAAAATTAGTCGAATTTTGATGCATCGCATTTTTCATTAATGAGACCCACAACCTCAGTGTTTGCTTTGGCTCTTGGTGCCATAGTTGCTATATCTACGCTATTTTTTCTTTCCACTATTTTTATTGTTAACAAAAGCACGCAAGAAACCCAGCTAGCGGCGTCAAAGCAAGCTATCCCTGGAGTGAAGCTCTTCGATACACAAGAAAAGTCGCTAAGCCATAAAGCTCACTCGCTGCCAAGTACTAGCCCTGCGCTCACTTTGACTCCTACACATATAGATCCTGCTTCCGGTTTGGGTGATTTTATGTCTTCTAGCGTCTTGCTATCGATCATCAGGATTTGTACGATTGGATTTGTTTTTGTTTCAGTAGCTATTTTTTCTAATCATTTCCCAAAAAAGCTCACTAGAATTCTGGTGAAAAACGTTCTTGTAGAATATGTCCGTAATGGGGTCTCAGATTTCGTAAATTGGTTCTGGTGTATTCCTCCACAACCTGCTTCTCCCTTGACGAGGGCTAAAGACCGCCTTTTATCCGTAAGCACCACTATTTTGACAACGATCTTCGGGAAAGACTCATATATTTTAAATGGGATATACACGATATTGAACGATGTAATTCTTGATGGAATGCTTATACCAATGTTTAACGCTACTATCATTTATCCTTGCACAAACCCACTTAGCGTATTTATCCCTGTTTTTGATTTGCTGATGTATATTCCTCGAATCAGCTTAAATGTTTTTTGTTCCTTAGTTTTTGAACCAGCAAATAACCCCCCTAACCCTGGTACAGATCCATATTACCCAATTCCTCTGAATAGACTTGCTTTTGGAAGATTGGGTTTCTTGCGCAGCATTGGAGTTATATTCATGTTTGGCGGGATTTTGTATGCATATCTGTGTCTTATTTTTGCCCTTTGGTCTTTGAATGAAACTATAATATGCTCTATTGGGATGTTCTTGAGCCAGCTGTTTTTTGAAATCCTGACAATATTATGGAAACTAATGGTGGATGTGTTTTTAATGTTTCTGAATTTCCTCTGGGTTAAACTCTTCACTATGAGAATAGGGAAAAACATATGGTCCTATTTCGGTTTCGGTGAAAAGAAAAATTAGCGAATCCGGTTTCCGTTCCAGGGGGGGGGGAGCCTATAAAATTTATTTAGTAAAATTTGACTTTAACATGCGTGTCCGTACTTGAGATCCAATCAAGTGTGAGGCTGTTCAATTTATTTTCATACTAGCGCGTCATCCTTGTGTTTGTTCAAGGCGGCTGTGCAGCCCATGTATGGAGCAAACGACGGTGCTCAAAATCCGCAGTATATTGGCAAGTGCCTCCTCAACAGCATCTGTCGCCACTGTGTCCTGCTGAATTGGAGTTAAAATAGAAGGCATCTGAGCGGAAGGCGGCTTATATGCGCCTGCTAGCCTTGCCAGGGCAGTTGTTCCCTTCATAATTGCTTCGATGTCTTCAATCAGGGATCTTTCCCACGGGCGCAGCGGGATCGAATGCTTTCTGATGATCTCCATCGCTTTAAAAGTACGCAGGATGAGCAGCCCGGTGAGACGGAGGCGCCTCTTCAGTGCTTCCATCCGCAGATCCGCTTGCGTGAGAATGGGAAGTGTTGCGGTAAGTCTGTCAAGAAGCTCATTTCTTTTGCCATCGAGAAGTGCACGGCGGGCAACTTGAGCTTCTGCACGCTGGTGCAGGGCATCAAAGCCAACCACGCGGACCGGAACTCGGCGCTCCGAGTCGCCCTCTTCGACAACGACATTCCAGAAGACATGGCTGAAAGTGGATGACCCTGCATTGTTGGAAACATCATACGAGAGCGCAATGTGCTCCAATAAAACCAAGGGGTGGGCAGCCATGTCAATAAAATTAAATTCAATTCGTAAATCTGACGGCGGTGCCTTCGCAAACTACATATGTTGTCATGTCTTTTCATACCCTTCCAAGCGTTGAGTTTTGTCATGCCTCCAATGTCTGCCCAGGCGTTAAATGGACATCAAAACCATTTTGATGCTGGAGCGCTGCGGCATGACGCCTGTTTCAATATACAACTCGAAGCTTGTCATTGCTCCACCGAGTTGAATTAATAATTAAAATTTCAGAGGACGATGTGCCCGCAAACCGATATTCATCATCAGCTGCTTTGGGATGACAGTGAAGATCCTGTGGCAGACGAGGTTGAAAGTAATGCACCGCGTATCAAAACCACTACAGGACTGATCATTCTGTGCTTGAATCTTAACGTTGACCCCCCGGGAGTGCAGCGTCCCCCGCGCGCTGCATCGATCCATGGGTGGACTGAGACAGTGACATTAGCAACAACAGAGAGTACTGGGATCCAGCCACGTGATGAGGCTAAGAAGGCTACTATGCAGCGAATTGGCGACACCATCCAACAACAATACGCTTCCATGTGGCACGGAAGAGCTCCCCGGCTGCGCTGTCTGCTGGACCCCACCGTTGACGAGCTGCTCAGAGCTGCCAGTGGGCTGGTTGTTGGTAATGCTGTCAAGCCTGTTTGCATGGCCACCAGCAGCTCGAGCACGTCTAGAACAGAAACCTCATCCCCAAAGACTGGCTTGCGGAAGCGCGAGCGGACCACGCCGAGGATAAGAGATGAAGCTGGAGAGGAAGACCCGTGCTCCAACGCCGATTGCCAAAAAGATGTGTCACGGTCGCGGCTACTGATCCACTATAATGGGCAAGGCATGCCTGTCATCACGACAGATGGGGAACTTTGGGCATTCAACGCCACATTTACACAATATGTCCCCGTTGCATTGAGCCGCGTCATTCCCCGCTTAATGCCAACTATTTGGGTGCTAGATACACCGTGGTCAAACAGACTCATTCCCGCGCTTAGCGCAATCGGGCCTACTAGTGGTGATGGGCAGGCGTTAATGCTTGGCGCTGGTGCAGGCTATGCCTCGTTGCATGGCCATCCAGAAATGCCTGCAGACATCTTTACAACGATCTTAACAACACCCATTCGGGCTGCTTTGCATTGGATATCTTGTCGTAACGTGGTTTCTGATCGTTGTGGCAACGCTGGCTTTAGCGTTGGTAGCAGTAGCGCTCCAGCTGCTGCTGGAAATGCTGACCAGAGCCAGGATCCTACTGACAGGCGTCTAGCAGCTCTTTTGGCGGCCATCACCGATACGATTGCTTGGGAAGTGCTTCCAGCACCATTATTCAAGCGCCTTTTCCGCAGGGACGTCGTCGTTGCTGGTCTTTTTCGTAACTTCTTGCTTGCACTGCGGATGCTTAACTGGCAGGGTACTGGTGGCCGTTTGGGATCACCTTGCTCTATGCCTCCGCTACCTGCGGAAGCAATCATTCGCCATCCGCTTTGGGGCCTCTGGGAAACAGTGCTCACCAGAGAATATCTTGGAGTCCCATCTATGACGTCTGGAATTCCCCCCATGAGGTATGGAGCTTTATCTAAACGTCTTTATAGGGAAGATGGTTACACTATAGCGATGAAACAGGATGGATGTGCGCTATTCTTTGCGGCACAAATGCAAGAGCTCTCAATTTGGATCAAAATGATGCTGGAGGAACGTGCGCGTCTCCTTGCAGCTTATCTTCTTTATCCGGAAGCAAAATCCTTGTCTGAAAACATCAAAGAACATTCCATCGAGCTCAAGAACGTGCATGGTGTCGATCAAAAGGGGGGAATTGTAGCATGCGAATTATTGCCCATCGTATCACCTACACTATCGATACAGGGATATTCATTATCGCTCCAGCCCTCAAAAGCGCTTTCTCATCGCTTGGAACAACTTTTGGATGTTACTGCCCCACCATGGCCTCCACTTCTTTACACGCGTATGCACGGCAAGGCCATTGAAGCACTACCTGGATATTCCCCGAAACGTAGGAGAGATTATCTCCCAATATTGCTACAGGCGCTATTACTGGGTCCGGAACTGCGATTGCGTGCTTTGCACTTGATCTCTGCATACATGATGATCTCGGATCGATGCGTGCGTGAGGCTGTAGCTGTAGGGCTTTTCCCGCTTATCACCAGACTTACAACAGCATCGACCAAGGGAATAGACCCTTCCTTAGGAGAGCGGGTTCTTCTTATTCAGATTTGGGCACGTCTTGTCAAAATCAGTCCCGCTTTAGTGGCCGATGAGGGTGTATTTGCTGCACTGATGCATGCTCACTGTGACATTAATCCATACCCACAACCCTCTAGTCGCAGGAATACTATAGAGCCCTCTAGCAGTGTTGCTATTTCGATGCCAAACCCACAAGAAGATCACTTTCCAGGCGATTCGCTTGCATGGTTATTAATGATTGGTATAATGCAACTGCGCCACCTACTACCGCCACCTTGCCCTTGTCGCTATTCTGCAATAGCGAGCACTGGGCTCTCTGTATACGGAGTCATCTGGCTGCTTTTTGCTGCCGCAATAGCCTCTTCGCATTGTGAATACTGCAAAAAAAAGCGAGCTCCAGCTCTATTCGTTCAGATTGGCCTTTGGTTTAACAGTGTGCCAGAAACAGATGAAAGCAAGGTTCTGTTTACCACCGTCAACGCCCTCGCCTCAACTCTTGACATAGCGTTTAATTTTTGTCCACCACTGGCTATTACAACAGGGATGCCCCCGGGAATTCTGCTAGCCCCGGCATACGCAAGCGACGCCCTTGGCCTTCAGCGACTGCGACAGACTCGATCGCTATGGACACTTGCCGGCATAGCCGCAGACCTTTTCTTTGATTCCCGATACACTGTACCGCTTAGCATTGTCAATCCAAGGGACTTGCGCCTGGCTCATAAGACCTAGAGATGCTCCCACCTAGATGTGCAAGCACTTTTTAGCCCCCAACACTGAGTTTAGAAATAGATACAACCGCTCCAACACACATGCCGCCATCCATATAGACGACAAGGAACGCCGCCATGCATATAAATAAAAGAAAATGATGCCGTACACAAAATTTCGATTGGAGAAGGACATGTTGACGAGTATGTTGCTAAAAAGTTGCTTGTAATTTATTGGTCACTCGTCATCCTCGACCATATCGGCAGAACCAGCGCCTTTGGCGGTTTCACGCTCGCGACGGCGCTTTACACGACCTGGGCGGCCACCAGCATATGGTGAGGTTGCAGCAAAGTCAATATGTCTCTCTGCATCCAAACGCACCGTAAACGAAGGGACATCCACGATCTGCCCACCGACGCGGATATGGCGCTGACGGATCAGCACGCGGGCGTGATGGATGCTTTTAGCAAGCTTGGCTTTCCAGATGATTGTCTGAAGACGGCGCTCTAAAAAATCTTCAACCTTCAAGGCGAGCACGTAATCGAGTTTTGCTTTGCTCTTGTCCAAGACACCGATGCGCATGAGACGGCGGATGAGCGCATTTCCCTCGAAAAGCCTTCTAGGCGAGCGTTCCTCCAGGGTAAGCAGCTCACGAGCGGCCTTTCGGATTTTCGCAAGCATGTAGGAGACGCGCCAGATTTCACGCTTGTTACGCAGGCCATAACGACCGGCAAGCTGCAGCTCGGCGTCGAGGCGCGCCTTTTCATATGGGCGACGGGGGACCGAATATGTCTTGGAATAAGCTCGAATGGTCATATAATAAAAAAGAAAAAAAGTAGCAAAATATTGCAGGGGTATGCAAGATGCAATAACCCTGAATTTGCCAAAAAATTTTCTCCATTTACCATGCCGCACTCCCACGGATATAGAGCGCGCACGCGTCACATGTTTGCCCGTGGCTTCCGCCAACACGGAGGAACGATACACCTTTCGACATACATGATCCCATACAAAGTGGGTGACTATGTTGACATCAAGGCCAATGGTGCCGTCCACAAGGGAATGCCACACAAGTTTTATCATGGCAAGACGGGTGTTGTCTTCAACGTAACCAAATCTGCTCTTGGCGTCATTGTCAACAAGCGTGTAGGTTCTCGCCTGCTCGAAAAGCGTATTTCTGTCCGCATCGAGCACGTAAAGCCCTCCAAGTGCAGGGATGATTTCATTGCCCGCATGAAAAGTGCCACTGCTGCGCACGTGAATGGCGAAAAAACGGTTTGTAAGCGAATGCCAAAATCTCAACGCCCAGCATGTGTTGTGGATTTGAAAAACAATGAGCCGCAGCTGCTGCGCCCAATTCCATATGAATGTAAGATTTGAAGTCTCTAACCTCTCCCCTAGCCCTCATCTAAGCGTCGTGTGACATTAATAAAGCATAACATTATCATCCACTAGCGCAAGATTAATTAACAATACATGGTGCTTCCGTGAAGTTACCCGTACCAGTGACTGTTTACATTTTATTGACCCGCGGAATGTGTCAGGTGGACATTGCACGACGCGGAAAAAAGGAAACTGCTTGTAAGCTATTGTGCCTGACGTTCCAAAGCATCTGCATGCGTTACATAATGGTTCACGGCCGTGCGGCTGCTCTCCTGCAGCTCGCCGCCCGCGATAAGCTCATCCAGAATGTAATAGGCCTATGATTGGTAAGATTGTCATAAGCAGACAAGTATAAACGCGAAAATGGCGGCAGCAGCAATATGATTTTGCAATGCCGTAATAGAAGGGCAATCAAAGCTTACCTTCTCGTAATTGAAAATGAGGTCAAGCTCACAAACGTTGCCAAAGTACTGATCAAGGCTCTCCACAAATCGCTGGATCCACTCTAGTGCTAGTAGCTCATTTGCATCCAGGGTGATGCCTGCAATGATGAAAAGCGAGGCGTAGCGCTTGTAGACTATCCGAAGATCTGGAAATCAAACCTACGCGACATACCTGAATACTCGACAAAGTTGCATTGCTTTGACTTTCGGGCAAGGATCAGCGAGGAGAGATCCCGCGTAATCTTTTGTCGCTCCTGAAGAGGAATTGTGGCATCCCACCACTTGGAGAGACGAACCTTTGACTGTCTGTTGATGAGCAACAGAAAGCTCATCGAAATTGCCATAATCTGCGATTTAGGAATGAAAATTTTATTCGAAAATAAAAGCTTTAACTTGCCAATTGAAGCGTAGCTATAAAGTGCATGCCATCCCAATTGGATGCCTAATGGTGCTCGATATTGTGCCTGGGCAGCACATTGATTTTTCTGTATCTACGGCAGGTTTCCAACTGGGAAATTCCCCACATTAGATAATTTTAAACATCCCCATGATGATATACTAGATTTACAAGCTGTCAATGTAGATAAATTTAGGTCCCGTTATATCAGAGAGCCTGGTTAAGAGGAGCCATGCCCACATCTAGACAATGAGGGCAACTTTTTGGTATTGGTGGGTTTTTGGTATCGCCCTTTGCATGTGCGAAGAGACTTCCAAGCAGGCAACGATCGCTGAAAAGCAAAACCTGCTTAACCACAAGTATTTAGAAGAGGAGATTAAGAGGCTTACTTTGCCGGAAAGACCGCTAGATCATTACCAAATATTGCAAAAACTGGGTGCTGGCGCATTTGGGCAAGTATTTCTTGCAAGGTTTCAAAACTCATCAGAAAAGGTAGGTGTAAATGCCGAATAGTCTCCATTTGCAATATAGGTGGCCATCAAGAAGCTCACCAACACCAATGACATCTCGCTATCCTATGCAATTAATGAGATCACCATTGGAAGGGAAATTCTTGGTAAGTTTTTTGTCCATTTTTTCTCCAGGCGATAACGCGCACATTGTAAAGTACAAGGAGGCATATTTTTGGGAGCACCAGGTTTGGATGGTGATGGACTACGTTCCTGGGATTGCAATTTCCAAAATCCCATCCAGGTTCTGGTCATCATCTGCTGTGATCCAGGTGCTACTCCAGCTCACAAGTAACCAATGATGACTATTTAAAGATGTTCTGGTGTCCTTCCAACGCTTGAAAATATGCCATGGGGACTTTCTATTTTCGAATATTTTTATTACCATCGACAGGCCAAGAATTGTCATCCTTGATTTTGGGCTTTCACATAAAATGCTGCCCGCAGATTCTTCAATGAAGCGATCACACAGAGATCGGTTTCGATTTACATCGGAATTTAAAGATCTAATCAAGTTGAAAGAGATTGCCCGATATCTGAAAAAAGAGCTCTCATCAATATCTTCTAAAGCCAGCGATATGATAGAAGGCCTTAATCGGGCGTCATCTCAAAAAGACCTTATAAAACTGGTATCTTGTAAGAAATTTGCAAATCTTCAAAAGAAAAAAATCCCCTTGGATATGCATGCAATCCTCAAGAAGATACATATGAGGAAAATGATACTTGCCTCCTTTCAAGCGACAATTAGCGACAAGAATAATCGCGTACAAGGTTCCACTGAAAAGGAGGACACTTCTGCTCTGGTTGACTTGATAGATTCTTTTGAAGAGAACTGGAGTGATTATCAACTTTCGTCTTCTTCTTCAAATACATCGTACCTGGCCTCGTTGCCATATGGATATGGTCCAGAGCTTCTTCCATACAGGGGAGATAGCTTTGTAGATCAAATGGAGACATTCCAAGTGCCGCTCATATTGTCCAACGAGGGCTACGGGGATAAGGAAAAGGAAAAAGAAAGCATCTCTGGTAAATCTAAATAAATTTTTCTCTTCCAATGTTTGCTTTAAATTATAAATTGTATATTTTACGTGCACGACGCCGCTAACATCTTTGCAATGTGTTATTTGATTCAAATTGAAGTTGATGTCGTTAGTTTAACTGCAATTTGTGCCCAGAAAGATGCAAATTTTATTGAAGGAAAGATTTTTCGGCAAAAATTTATGATCAATTTTAAGGTTGCGGTGCGCCATCTGTCCGGGGCTGGCCCATCTCCAAGCGGTGGATTGGTTTTATTTTCAAAACACGGATCCGTTGGCCTTGTCAAATTAAATCGACCAGAGTCACTGAATTCACTTTCTTCTGTGCTTTTTGACGAGCTTCTCACTTGCCTGAAAAAATGTGACTTGGATACCTCGATCGGGGCCATCGTGCTGACCGGTAGTGAAAAGGCATTTGCTGGTAGCATTTTTATTCTTAATATGGGACTAGCCGGCGCCGATATCAAAGAAATGAGCGAGCGAACATTCTCTAAAAACATAAACGAGAATTTCCTTGGTAATTGGTCGGAGATCCAAAAAATTCGAAAGCCAATAATTGCAGCCGTTAATGGATTTGCCGTAAGCCCCGCCCATCTCATTTTGGTAGCTTGGGGGTGGTTGCGAGCTTGCCATGATGTGCGATATGATATTTGCCGGGTCGCGGGCAAAATTTGGTCAGCCAGAAATCAAACTTGGCACGATTCCTGGTAAGTTGCCAATATGATCTACATATGAGCTAGCCCCTCATATAGACCACCTTTTACAATTACATGCTCCGTGACTTACGTCTTACATTTTGTTATTTTCCGCCCCATCTGGTCAGTTTTGACAGCATATAGGGGGTGGGGGAACACAGAGGCTGTTGCATGCTGTTGGAAAGTCGCTTGCCATGGACATGATACTCACAGGGAGGATGATCACCGCTGATGAGGCCAAGGCTGCAGGTTTGGATCTTTTTTCATGATGAGGATTTGTTTCCAGGATCTTTCCATCAGAGACTTTGGTAGATGAGAGCATAAAGGTTGCCGAAACTATCTCTGAATATTCGAAACTAACGGTTTCCTTAGCTAAGGAGGCTATAAATTCAGGTTTGTCTTTGTTTGACGATTTTTAGCAATGGAAATGCCTCTTTCCCAAGGGTTGCTCTTTGAGCGGCGTTTGTTCCAAGCTACATTTGCAACGGTAAATTCCCGCCTTCATCTGTAGACTGACCAAAAGGAGGGAATGGCCGCTTTTCTGGAAAAGAGGACTCCAAAGTTTTCGGATCAATAGACTTTATGACAACGGTTCTTCATAAATGGACCAAATAAAAGGAATGCCAAAATAATGCAACAAGCCACCTTGATCGTCGAGTTTGGACAAAAAATTTATTTTAATTTTCAATGGAAAGGCTTGTTTTCTACACGCAGGCCGACCACTGTAAGCCGCTTGCTCTAATCTCTAGTTAATGCAAAATACGTCGGTGCTGGCCATGCAGACATTACTAGACAGTATGAGTATACATTAACAGCTTTAGTGAGTGGTTTGAACATCAGCATCGCGACTCCATTGCCTGTTTTGTGGGCCACGTAAATATCCTGCAATACATGTCCGTTACGATGAACGAATCAACTACTAGAACTAGGTACAATCTGATGCAAGTATGTGACTTTTTTAACCTCCTAGAAATACATAAGCCCGTGTGGACCTACACCGCCGCCTCCAAAATGGAATGAATATGCAGGTGAGAGCAGCCGATAGTTGTGTAAAAATAAACGTTAAATTTTAAATTAATTTTGACGTCGATGTCTTCGAAAAGTAGCATTGATTTTGATGGGATTTACCTGCAGGGCAAAGGGCATAAAAATCCGGGGAAAATCAAGTTTATTTCTAACGGTCTTGGGTGGAAGGAAACCATCACCGGTGTTGTGATAACGATCAAGTCTGAAGATATACTCTCCATGGCATGGAGCAGGGTTTCGCGCGATTACCAGCTTCAAATTGTGCTGAAGGAGGCTTCGTCAGGCTCTTCAAACACATCAAGTTATTCCTTTGATGGGTTTCCAAAAGAAGTGAATATGAAGTGGTTTATTAATTGCCTAGGCTCACGACCAAATAAGGGACTTTATCCGTCAAAATTACTCTGGAATGTATCTTGACCAGAAGGAATATTCGCTGAAAGGTTCCAATTGGGGAAAGCTGAGTTTCAACGATCAAAAAGTCACATTTAGCGACACTTCACTGCCTTCAAATGAGTCGACGATTCTTTCGCTTTCTATCTCCGACATTTCAAATGTGGCCCTGACGGCAAAGAATGAGATCTCCATTGAGACGGCTTTAGACCCCTCCTCTAAGCGAACAGATGCACTTGTGGATATTAGATTCTTTGTTCCTGGAGAAGCGGACGGAGAAATCGGTGGAGAGGATGAGGAGGGCGAATTTTCGCCTTCCCCAGATTCGGCAAATGTAGAATTTACGGTTTCACGTTTAGGGTCTTGTGCAAAGCATTAAGAGTGCATTGGAGGCAACCGGGTCAGATGTCGCCTCAAGCGAAATTGTTGCGTCGTTCCGGGATTTACCGTTTATCGTGCCGCGTGGACGATACGAAATGGACTTGTACATTTCTGCGCTGCGCCTTCGTGGCAAATCGTATGATTACAAGATACCATATGCAAACATTGTTCGTCTCTTTCTGCTTCCCAGGCCAGACGACAGCCATGTGCTTATGGTGCTTGCTCTAGAGCCCCCGATAAGGCAGGGGCAGACCAGATATCCTTTCTTGATTGTGCAGTTTGCAAAAGAGATGGATACAGAGGTCGATATTGCTCTGGGCGAGCAGGCCAGAATTCCTCTGGGCCTTGAAGCTTCATATGAGGGGCCGCAATATGAAGTTGTCTCGAAATTGCTAAAAAGCATCTCCATGAAAAAGTTGATCGTACCTGGCGCCTCTTTCCAAAGGTATTTTTCTTGCATCCTAATTAAAGCCCTCAAGGATTCTGTGCAGTCAAATGCACCGTTAAGGCCAACGAGGGGCATTTGTATTTTCTGGAAAAATGCTTCCTATTCGTCCCAAAGCCTGCCATCATTTTACAACACGACAAAATATCTTCTGTAACATTTTCGAGGCAAGTTACTTTCTTATCGCGGATTTCCTCAAATTAGCTAGCAATTTATATTTTTTAGAATAGATACCACAGGCACATCTAGAACTTTTGATGTCAAGTTTAGCATGAAAGCCGGGCCGGATCAGGCATTTTCGTCCATTATGAAGTACATTTCAATTTTTTGATGGGATAGGGAAGAGTTTGGAGCTTTCGAAAAGTTCCTTAGGGACAAAGGAATAAGATACCAAAATGACCTTCCAGAGCAGAGGAAAATTGCATATAAGGGTGGATCGGATTCTGGATCCGACGATGATGCCGTTATTCCAGTGCGTTCTGATATCGAAGACGGGGAAGACTCCAGCACCGACGAAGACTATCAAGAGGGCGATTCTGGGGCTGAGTATTCCTCTTCCGCCTCTGACGACGACAGTGAGAGCAATGGCAATGAATCTGCTGAGGACATGGACGAAGAATAGGAATTTATTAAATTTATTTCAAGACAGCGAGTTGGTTACTTTTCTAAACGGGAACCACTAATTTAGAATTGGTGCTTCATTAACTATTTGCATCGGCACATGGTACAAGTGTCTCGTATTCCTTCAATTTTTCAATAGAAATCACGCTAGGGTTGGCGCGTCTACATCAAGCCACATTCGAAGTTTGTAAATACCTGAACCGTCGTTTATTAATTTATTTTAGTTTACACCCAAATGAATTCCTTGTGGAATAAGTCCTTTTATCTGTCCCGCTTCATCCTGCACAGTAAGTCTGCCGTAGTGCGACCAAGATGGGTATCGTATTCGACCTCTGGAACAGATAACATCAGCGAGCGTGTTTTAAGCGTTCTCAAAACTATTGATAGAATCGATACCTCAAAGGTATGATGTTGTATTTTCCTGACCCCTTTAGCTAAAAATGGACTGCAACATGACAAAGGACCTTGGGCTGGATTCATTGGATATGGTTGAAGCCATCATTGCTATTGAAGAAGAGTTTGGTATTGAAATCCCAGATAGAGTTGCCGATTCCATAAAGACACCTGCCGATGTGGTTGCATTTATTACGGAAGAGCAAGCTCGCAACCGGGTCAATTAAAACCAATTTTTATTCAATTAATAAATAAGATGAAGATGGCAAGGAATTTGGATGTGTGCGATTACGAGAAGTAGCCCACAAGCTTCTCATAATCTAGCAGACTTCGATTTGCATTGTTGGGGTCTGGGAGCGTTGCAGAAACGGCACCAGAGAGATAAATAAAATTGCTCCAGTCCTCCTTGGAAAAGGCTGCACCCTCTTCAGAATGGTCAAGCAGAAGGGAATGAAGCTTTTCCATCGGAATCAAAGTATCGGGTTGCGAAAAATTGTGAACAACAATAGTCTGGAAAGCATGTTTGGCGGACGCTGAAATGGGCCTTAGGGCAGACAAATGGGAATTAATGGTAGCCAAAAACATCGGCAGATCATATCCGGTGGGATCCTTGTCAAAGTCGCCCACGGAGACATTAAGTGCGCCTAAGGATGATTGAAGGTCCTCATGCGATAAAATGCCGTCATTATCCCTATCCAGGAATCTGAAGATTTCAGAAAGCGTAGCGAGATCTTGCTGCATTTTCAAAAAATGAATGTAGACTGAAACGTGGCGCGCAACCTTTGGAACTGGAGACTACCTGGTTGCCAACTCAACCGGCCATTGGACAAAATTTCAAATTTAAACGATATTGTACTTTATGAACCCGGCCTGTAATAATTAATCATTAATCAATCTTTAAATTAAAGATGCAAACTGACAAGTCTCGACAAGAGAAATTTATCGAGGTCAGTATAGATGAGGGCGAAAGAGGGCTCGGAAGCAGATCAAGCACGATCGCGTCGGTATCTCTGGTGGTAAACAAGCTTCCCTGGTACAGAAGCAAGAGAAACGTGGTTCCGCTGCTTTGCTTCTTCAGTGTGTTTGTAATGTATATTGTACGCTTCAGCTTTTCGCAGGCCTCTATCCCGATGGCACAGGTATACCATTGGTCTCAGTTCGAACTTTCGCTAATTGTCTCTTCATTCTACGCTGGCTATCTTCCATCGCAAATCTTCGGGGCGTGTGCCAGCAAGGCTTGGGGCGGAAAGCCTGTCGTTGCTGTTGGTTTGCTTCTTTCATGTTTTGGATCAATTTGTATTCCAATTTTGGCAAACCACTATTTTTTGGTGCTAGCGCTTAGGGTTCTCATGGGAATCGGGCAGGGATGCATGTATCCTGCCATGTGCGAGCTACTTTCCCAATGGGTCATCCCTCCTGAAAAGGCCTTATGGCTAAATTTTTCATGGTCTGGAGGACAGGCTGGAACCATTTTTTGCCTTGGCATTTATCCCCTGCTAGAAGAGACTTTTGGATGGAAGTTTCCATTTTTTGCGTTTGGAATGATTGGCGTGGTTTGGTTCTACTTTTGGAGCTCGCACGTGTGGGAGACGCCGCAAAAGCATCCATCTCTTTCTGCCCAAGAAAAACTCATTTTAGAAGCATACCCGCCAAGAGGAAATGCCATCAAGGGGGCCTCTGAGCAGCAGTCCAAGGCAATACCATGGCTGGCCATCATATCCTCTTGGCAAATATATCCTGTGGTGCTGATTTATTTTGGGTACAATTGGCCATTCTACCTGATGATAAATTCGCTTCCAACTTATTTGCAAACGGTTTTGGGATTCAAATCCTCTAAGCAGGGGCTTCTTTCTATGCTTCCATATATTTTTCTTTGGATTTCTCTGATCTCATCTGGGATGTTTTCGGACTGGCTGGTTAAGAAAAAGAAAGTCCCGATTTGGCTCCAGAGAAAAGGAATGGTTTTTCTGGGACTGTTTCCCTCCGCCATCGTTTTACTCTTTTTGTCCCATTTTTCTTCTTCTGTATTTTGGACCTTGGCTGCAATTAATTTTTCCATTGCAATGCCAGGGATCTCGATGAGTGGATTTTCGCCCGCTGCTTTTGATTTATCTTCCGAATATGCCGGGGCAATTACATCCATTTGCAATGTGTTTGGATCGCTATCTGGGATCATATGCCCAATAGTTACGGGAATCATTCTTGACCAGGCTAATTGCAGTGCTGGACGTGACGAAAATCCAACTGCATCTCTTGCATGCAAACATGCGTGGTTCACTGCATTTGCAATAGGCGGTGGCGTGTACATTGCCGTTACTTTAATTTGGGTTTTATTTGCATCTTTTAAATCAATTTCTTTTTCTCATGGAAAACCATGCAAACACTAGCAAGTTATTTGACATGTATTAAATCCTATTGAACCCTTTATTTTGCTCCTTTGGGAATCTAATCTAATCGGAGAAAAGCGAAGCGAAGCAAATCCGATACCGTCCGTGGCTGCAAAGTCAACGGGGTAGGGGTAGGGTTTATCGCCAATTTACGCAACCCTAAGCCAATTCGAACGCTTCGCGTTTGGGTTTAAATTTTAAATTTTATAGGAAGCAAGCTGATTGATCCATAAACTGCCCAATTCATTTAATCAAGGATTTCTTTGATTGCCACCAACATTTTGGTCAAAATTTTAATTCTTCTCCATGCAGGCAATCAAATGTGTGGTTGTTGGAGATGGAAACGTTGGAAAGACATGCATGCTCATTAGCTACACAACCAATGCCTTTCCTGGCGAATACGTCCCCACAGTGTAAGGCCAATTAAATAGGCATATCTACTAGATTCGACAATTATTCTGCGAACGTCACCATATCCAACAATAACGAGCAACATCAGATAAACCTTGGGCTGTGGGATACCGCTGGTCAGGAGGATTACGACAGATTGAGGCCCTTATCATATCCCGGAACCAACATATTTCTTCTTTGCTTTTCCGTTGACAACGTCCATAGCTATGAAAATGTCACAACAAAGGTACCCTTCTTTTTCTTTTCTTAGTGGCTTCCTGAACTTATCCACTATGCACCAAAAGTACCGATTGTATTGGTAGGCACTAAAACTGATTTGAGGAAAGAAAAGGGCGAAGCTGGGAATTTTATCACCCAAGAGCAGGGAGAAAAGCTGAGAAAAGAAATTCATGCCGACAATTACTTGGAATGCTCTGCTCTTACCCAAGATGGACTTAAAGAAGTTTTTGACTATGCCATAAAAGCAACCTTATTTCCGACCGGAAAAAAAAAGAAAGGAAAAAAGTGCACCATAGTTTGAAAAAATCGTACCGCCAAATAATTTGAAATAAAATTATTTTTATAACAAAATACAGCACATCCAACGTAATATGATGGCAATATTAGCAGACCTTAAGCCGATTGAAAATTCGTGTGCGCCATTTTTATTGAAATGGCATCATCTTATTTTGGGGTTACACTCGGTGTCCCTGCAAGTGGGGCAGACATTACATGGGCGCCATAAATTGATCGTCACTTGGAAATGCGGTTGGTTTATTATTTCAGTTATGGTGTCAAACGCTTTGGATCACGAGGAAATAGCGAGGTCTTGCGAATGTTTCCAAGTCCAAAGTACAGCATGACAACACGCTCGAGCCCAATTCCACCGCCGGCATGTGGTGGAGCGCCATACCGAAAGGCCTCAAGATATGAATTGATGGTCGATAGGTCTAATTGTAGCTGGTCAGACAAGATATTAGCATACCGATACCATGCTCAGTGGCCTTTTGAACTAGCAAGTTATAGTCATTAATTCTTTGCGCTCCGGAAAGAATCTCTTCGCCGCGGATGAAAAAGTCATAAGCATTTGCCAGTTTCTAGAAAAGTTACAAAGTTAACCCTCATACAGGATCCTTTGAATCATACATGGTATAAAACGGTCTGACCGCCAAAGGGAACTTATCCAGAACATAAAAATCCGTTTTGTACTTTTCTTTTACCAGCTTTCCTAGTAATTTTTCATTGGTAGTGCTAGGGCATAAGTGAAAAATGACGTGCCTCAAATCCTCGTCAGCAGCCATCTCGATCCCAACGGCACGTAACATAGCGACTCCTTCAGAATATTGAAGAACCAGCGTCTTCTCCAAGTACTGAAGTTCTTCAAAAGGATGTTGTTTGTGAATGGCCTCAAAATATTTGCTATATTTGGGATCCTTCAGCGCATCAAAGACAAAAACGAACATCGATGCGATCATATCCATTACTTCGTGGTAATGGGATGTAAATGTCATCTCCAAATCAACACCTGTAAACTCGGTCAAATGGCGGTGGGTAAACGAATTTTCAGCTCTGAAAACCGGCCCAATTTCATAGACTCGATTGAAATGTGCACAAATAGCCATTTGCTTGTACAATTGAGGAGATTGCGCAAGGAAAGCATCGCCGTTAAAGTATTTGACCTTGAAGACATTTGCGCCTCCCTCAGACGCAGCAGATATCATCTTTGGCGAGTGGATTTTTCTAAAGTCATTCAAATGGAAAAATCGTTCAAAATGCCATTCGATTTCAGAAAGCATTTGAAAAATGGCATCATTGGCGGGGGTTCTCAAATCAATCACGCGATTATCAAGTCGGGTATCAAGATTTACACGAGGCAGAGCCTCTTCTTCTGGAGAAGAACTGAAATCCGGGCGCGATGCATCTTCCAAATTGATAGGTAGAGTGGCTGAGGGCGAGACAACCCAAAGCTCTTCAACATGAATTTCATGGCTAAAGACAGAACATGAAAGAATTGGTGTAGAGGCTTTAACAACCTTTCCAACAATATCAACGATGGTTTCCTTTGAAAGAGATCCACAAAATTTTAGCATAGCCTTGCTAATGCTCACATTGTCAGCATACACAATGAGCTGGATGTTGACATAAGGGCTTTCGCGAAGAACGACAAATGCTTGCTTTCCTAAACTTAAGAAAGAAAATCAAACCTGCTACACGAGAAACACTAATGGTTCCTCGAACTCTTACATGAGTATGTTCTTCCAGTTGTGAGATCTTACTAATCGGCGTCCATACAAGGCCTATCGTTAGATAAATTTAATCAATAAATACCCTCCATTGTGCCATATAATTGAGCAGGAAGAACTCCATACTTTGATGATGATACGTCCTAAAATAAATATCGCAAAAATTACGGGAACAGATGTTTGTTCTGCGGCAACCCTTTTAGCTGTTTCCATTTTTCGCTCTTCTTTTTCTTTTTGAGCTTGTAGCTTTTTAAGGGCGCTCTTCGAAAGGGGGTTGTCAGCACTAATATATTACATCAGTATCAACAAATACGGTGATGCAGAGACATCAAGAGATTCAAACTTTTCGGTGAGCTCAGTAGCTACCATAAAATCATATCCATTACATTTTACGTATGAGTTATTAATAAAATATATAAATTAAAAGAAGGCGACTTTTGCTGCCTCCTTAGCATAGTGGTAGTGCGTCAGTCTTGTAAACTGAAGGTCACCAGTTCAATTCTGGTAGGGGGCTAACTTTTTGAATTAATTGATTTTTTTATGGACATATTTACACAGGCCTTTGAAATTGAAGATCCATTGGACTCGATAGTTTATTGCATGAGAAAGATTAAACAGGAACTCACGTGTAGCATATGGTTGTGATCCCTGGATTATTAACATTTTAGTCTTCAATTTATTTCGGACCCTTTTCTTACCACTTGTAATCACTATTATTGCAGGTTTTATGGAATAGTAATTTTAGGGAATGCTTATTACAGGCACTTAAACATAGTTGCAAATGCCCACTATGCAAAAACACGATTTCCAAACGATCTTGCAACACAGATTCCACCATGCAAGATCTGATTGATCGCTACAACGTGCTGTTGGGCGTTTATGAAAAGTTCCAAGGCTCCTGTAGGTAATGCTTCATTGATCGTAGTGTCGCAAAAGCCAACAAAAGCAAAGGGCGCCGAAAAGCAGCCAACCAATTTATCGTCACCATCGCAGCTAAAAATCCCCTCACTCGCCATCATAGACGACCAGTTTGATTCCTTTTCAGACTGAAAGATGATATTGTAGATAAAAAGTCAAATAAGTAGCAATTGATTGTTTAGTTGATTTGTTTATGATTCAGGCGTGGATAACTTAAATTAATATCTTGACAACTAGTGTTCTCTCGAAAAATCAAAATATCAATTAGAGGATGAAAGGGATCAGGGCACCTCTTTTGTTCATTATATGTCTGATCTTCTTGTATGCATGTATTTCGGGGGTAACCTCTTCCGCTGAATCGAGCCCCACCGTTTTGGAGATGCTGGAACGTCTTGCCAATGAAGAGGGTGGGGGGCAATACACCACTTTTAGCAACATATTGCTTCAAATCCCAAAACTAAGAAACCTACTGTCTGGAGTTGAGCATTTTGAGAATGCAAACTCGTTTGGGGAAGACTTGGAGAAGGATGAGAGCAAAAAATTTCAAATGATTCTATTTATGCCGACAAATGTTGCCGTTGCAAATAGGGGGCAATTAGAGAGTTCCATATTCAAGAATGCCATTTTATACCACATTGTAAGCTCAAAGGTTTCCAGGAAAATGTTGGATAGTGCTGCAGAAACAGGCAGCCCAATTATTCTGGAAACTGCCCTTTCAGCGGCAAACAGCGGTTCTGGGACCTCATTTTCGGTACGCCTTCCATTGGGAGTGCCGCAAAGATTGATCCTTAACAGTCCGCGCTCGATTCCATCGGAATTATCCGAGATTATTAGATTGAAACCAGAACACTGGAGCGTTCAATATGGATTGCTGCCGGAAGCCACTATTCTCTCGTCGACAGGATGGGAATGCAGCAATGGACTAATTCTACCGATCGATGTATTCCTGTTGCCTCCAATCGACTTTGTCGTCACGATGGCCTCATTACACGTCAATGCTTTTGTACAGTTGCTTTCGTCTGCCGGAATTGGATCTGATTTACCCCCAGGCGCCTTGATCGGAAAACCCGGCGTTACACTTTTCCTTCCAACTCAAGAAGCACTGATGGAAAAAATTGGCTTGCTCCAAGAACTTGACCGCAAAGAGCTTCATGACCTCTTAAAGCGGCATATTATTATCGGTGACGATTCGCTCCCTGTATATCTGGATGGAAAAATTTATGATGTGAGATCTTCTTCAGGAGAAAGGCTTTTCATAGAGCCATCCATGTTTCCCAGCTCTGAGGCTGGAATTGTAAATGGTCAGAGAATTCTATATGGCAATGTCCTTCTTTCAAATGGAGTTGCGCATATCATTGACGGAGTGATTCCTGAAACAACCCCATTCCTCGAAAAATATCCACAAGAAAAAAACGGAAAGGGCCAAGATCCCGACAAAGGGGTCACGAGTCAGACTTCTGACTTTACAGATTCACAGGGAAATGCTTTGCCGGCAGTTTGGACAGGATCCTCTGCTTTTTTGTTTGCTGCCGCCTTGTTGGCTGTGATGTTCATTATGTAAATATAGATGTAAATTGGAATCACTTCATGATATTTGTATTTATAACCAACTCGCCCAGCTACCACCTTATCTACAACTTCAATGTGGAGGTTTTTGGATATGTCCTTTAGGGTTAGAAAAATTAAATTTCCTGGCCTGATTGTCAACTTAATTAAGGGCTTTAAATAATTCGTCCAAAAGTGGAAAGTCTCCAATGACAGCAAAACCACTGCCACCAATCGGATACAGCAATTAATTAGAGTATATATTTGTCGTGTTGTTGCATCAAAACTTGAATGACAATTCAAAGCATTATGGGAAAAAAGGCCGCCTCGTATGTCTCAATTCGGCCGTCTCCGAGTATCTCATTGCCTAGCATTAAGAATTCGTTTGGGCACCCCAATCATGCCATTTTGACCGAAATCGAGTCTGATCTGGTACTCTCGCCCGAAGTTCTCGTCGCATCGAAGCAGCCTCTAACATTACCTGGCGGTGAAGAAGGCGCTGGCAGCAGCGAGGAAGTTTTAAGCAGCAAGCAGCAAAAGGCATATGAAGAGCTAAAGATCTCAATCGTACTGTGTGGAGAGTATCTTTCGAACATTTCCTTTGCAAAGTCTAAGTGTATGAACCAAAACTCCGCACTTGAAGAAGGAATTAGAAGCTCCCTTCAATCTTCACTGGACACCAATATGCTAACCTCCATCTCTAGCAAGAGGAAGAAAGACATAATTTTGACCGGTAAGTATATGTGTATTCCAATTTTTTCTAGCAACCAAATGCATCCAGTGGTTTGAAAAGGCAAATATGGACCTAAAGCTCCTCCTCTCGCAAATGTATCCAAATCCTGCACCGAATTCGCGCTTGCCGCAAGGGAAAAGAATGATCCAAAGATCAACATACATCGGAAATCGGCCAAAACTCAACAAAAAGCCAGCTCTGCATAATGAAGATTTTGAACGGCCTTTTCCAAATCATCACAACGAGAATAGCTCAGAAAATAGCACCATGTGCAGCCTTATTGATATGGATATGCTTTTTTCAGAGGATGTTATTTATTGAAATATATTATGTGCGAATTACCCCAGAACGGGCATGAACTAGGTAATGAATAAATGTAAGAATACTATTATATTGCAGTAATTTTTCAATCAAATCAACATGCGTTAAAAGCATTCTTCGGCAACAATAGCGTTTGAGGCCAAGTTTATCTAGCGCATCGCTAACAGGAAAGTAACGCCTAGAATTACCCTTCTGAGCAATCATTCTGTAAAAGAGAGAGGTATGTCCCCCATTTGTTTCCTACAACCTTGCCGCAAGTGAAGCAGCGAACAGGAATAATCATCAGAACAAATGTAGTCTAAAAACATTTGCTTTTATTTGAATTTAATTTAATTTAACTTCAATTAAATTAAATTAGATTTTATTTAAAAATTAACTCTCCTTACGCTCGACAATTTTAGACCTAAGGCCAAGATGAGGAACTGCTCCTGGAGCAGAGTGCTTCCTTCTATTTTCCTCTTTGCGCTTCTGTGATTCAAGGATAATTCTTTTCTCCCTTTGGGCAGAAGATATTGGCTTTGGAATGTGCCGATGTGTGGATATTCGTTTAACTTCTGGGATTTGCGAATATTTGGCCTTCAAAGCGGCTCCATAGTTAAGCGCCTCGGATTGACGTGAGGGAAGGGCAGAGGACCGAGAAGAAGCTTGCGATCTCCAATAGCGAATTGATCCATCATCTGAGGATGAAAAAATAAACTGATTATCCATGGACCAGCGAACAGAAAAGACCTTTTGCATTCTTTTGGTGTGGTATACATCCCTGCTCCGTCCATGTTTAGTGGAGAAAATACGCAAGGTGTGGTCGTAGGATCCAGAGACTAGCTCTTCACCTGTGGGTGAGAAATCCAGGTCTAATAAGGCAGAGGTGTGTCCCTCCAGAACGTTCAAGGGCATATCAAGTCGCCGCATGTCAAAAAGATATGCGTTTGAATCTTCATTAGCAACGGCAAAATTTAAGGGCTCCATTGGGTTCCAGCAAAGTGAATTTGATTTCATCGTTAAAGTCACCCTGGCAAGTGGGGAGTCCATCCTCAAATCTAAAAGACCAACTGTTCGATCCAATCCACAAGTACCTAAAATGCTTGCATCTGCGCTATTGAACCGTACGTGGGTAAGAGTCTCCAAGCCGGGACGTGACCAACGTGTAGTTGCTGTGTTTCTGTCGTGGTTCCATAAGCTAACAACCCCCCCAGCCGCGGTAACAAAAGTATTATCAAAGGGATGATGATCAAGTCCAGAGACACAGTCTCCAATTTCAAAAGAACGGATGGGCGAATTTGAAGTAGAAGCTGAGGTGTCCCAAAGATGGACAAATCCGTCATCAGAGCCGGAAACAAATCGACTACCGCTGTGGTCATTGTGAACAAATGACAATGCCCTCACAAAGCGACTGTGTGCATGGCGCATGTTCCAGCGAGTTTTCTTTGAAGAGATGTCCCAAAGCCTAAGTTCACCATCAGCAGATCCTGAAAGAAGCGTGTTTAAGATTCGAGTGTGTTTTGCCATGGCATAAACACCATCATTGTGTCCTGAAAGCGCACCGACAAATGGTTTAGCAAAGAGACGCTCAAGCTTCACAACATTTAGGGCTCTGGTTAGCTCTCTGGGACGTGAGAATGGATGCAGCTCTGGATTCATGTTGACCTGGGTCTTAGGCATATCCTGGTTTCTTTCCCTGGAGGCAGAGGCAAACGAATGTGACAATACCTGGATTTTCATGATAAAAAAATTACCGTTCAAATTAAACTAAAATGCATCAAATTTTAAATTAAAGCTAGCACATTTTAAGCTTGAACATTTCATTGTTGTAGTTTGTACCAAAAATAAACTTGACATTGCCCTCAGCCGCAGTCGATACAGAGCCAATGGTGACATTTGGGATGCGTGATTTTCCCACGAAAAATATGAAATTAGACAATTTCTGCACCATAGGGAAAGATTCCTCCAATAATATTGGATCAAAAAGGCGAGAAAGAACTGTCTGGACTCTCAGGGAGATCATGTCTTTGAAGTTAGGCGTGGCTATGGTAAAACGAATGTGCACATTAATTCTAGTATGGAGTGGGGATGTGGACGAAAATCCTAAAACACCCTCGTTTTTATTTTCACCCGTCAAGATGTGCGATTGATTTAAAAGATAAGTAAGATTTTGCTCTAGCTTGAAAGATTTAGAAATATGGTGAACGCAAATTATAGCGTGTATCTGGATGACTTGAATTTCTTTAGAGTCGGTGCTAGAATTATTGGCATATTCAAAATTTCCGTAAAAGACAACAAGATTTTGTTTTCACTGATAACAAATGTTGTCTCCGCAATTATCCATTTAATGCCTTCGCAGCCGCAGCATCCAGATTGGTGTGATGCGGTAAAAAAATATATAAACTTGTCCAAAGATTCAAAAGTAATATCTAAAGAGGTGGGGCTAAAACTTTTTCGAAGCCTGCAATATGATCGGTCTTTGAGCCAAACCCTGGTATTTTCTGATGAAGCTCTTAGGATGCTTTGTAATCCACAGTAATTTGGCGTTAAATAGCAAAATGTGCTCGCTGCCCTCCCCTTTACAAATTGCAAAGTCTAAATGGCCAATAAATCACAATTTTGCAAAATGAGATTTTAATTTTAAATGTCCACTGGCAATTCATTTAAACGTTACTCGTTAATTGTTTCATGCATCATTTTGACAATTTTTGTCATTAGTATTAGCCTGCTTGCAGTTATAGTACAAATCATTACATTTCCCTTTACATCGCCCGAATTTTTCTACCACATCAACTGTTATATTGCTTTCACGATTTGGAGAAGCTTGAATTTTATTTTGTTCAAAGTAAATGGAAGTCCACCATCGATTGACATTTCTTTTGAAGGATTTCCAAATGGTGTAAATCAGAATGAAATTCCAGAAAAGGAATCTGCAATCATTGTGAGCAACCACATTTCAGCCACAGATTTCTATGTCATTCATGCGGCTGCCTTAAGAAGAGGAATGCTGGGTCAAATCCGATATTTTTTAAAGGTTTGAAGAGAGTGCAGTTACTTTTATTAGGATTCTATTAAATGGATCCCAATTTATGGATTGGGCATGTGGTTCCTTGGGATGATCTATGTTAAGCGTTCTTGGACTTTGGATAAGAATAATATCAAAAAGCAATTAGCAGGGTTTTCGTATAGCACCAAAAAATGCTTCCCCATTTGGATTGTAACTTTTGCGGAGGGTTCCCGTATCACACCTTCGAAGCTCAAAGAGGTAAGTCGTGTGATCGAATTCTCCTGTTGTAGGCTCAGGAGTTTTGCAAAGAGAAGGGCGTATCTTACATTCCATCACACACGCTGGTTCCACGCTCCAAGGGATTTTGTGCTGTTCTCGACGAATTTCGCGAATCCTCTGAAGTTAAATTTATCTATGACTTTACGATTGCCTATTGGCATCCAATTCATGGATGGGGGGTTCCACCCTCCTTAGCAGATATTAATTTTGGTTTGGTCCCACCGGGGTGCAAGTTTTATGCCCACGTAAAAAGAATCCCTATCTCAGATATACCTCAAGGTCAAGAAGAAGCCTGGCTTAAAGATCTCTTCATAGAAAAAGACCAACGTTTAGGAAACATAAAGGCAAAGTGGATGCCTATAAATTAATTCCGAATAAAGTTGCATGTAAACTTTATTAGGTTAGGGTTAGGGTTTGTGGTACAATGATGTTGCTCTATATTAGATGGGAAACGAGTCCAATCAAAATCATGACTGCTGAAATTATTAGTGTGGCCGTGATTGAAGCTTGGGAGTTCATGTGAAAGAAAATCGAAAAAAACAGGATAATTTCATTGGTCGAGATGATATCATAAAGAAATTGGATGAACAGGCCCGTAAGAACGAACCCGGAAATGATGGTTATCACTCTGGATATGATAAGTCCCAAAAATTTCATCTTAACCAAAGCTAGGAGGAAGGGAAACCTCCCACCGGCGGCATTTTTGCGAAACTTGTATTCCAGCGAAATATAGCCAAAGTATTTAAAGGTAGCATAGGAGAAAACAAAAACATGTGCATAATACGGAGAAGGATCCCATCCCAGGATGATTTCAATCGTAGAAAATGTGGCTCTTTTGTGGAAGCCATAGGCCTCGCGCCAAGCAGGCCCGTCAGGCAGCCAGACAATCGTCGAAAAATGATAAGCAATGGCACCTACAGAAAGATGCTCCATAATCATCAAAAAAAGACAAGAAAAGAGCCTAGGATAATAATCGGAAAAGTTTAACGCAAATGGCAAAAAAGGATAGAACCCGGTCTTCAGGTATTCCGAGATAAAAAATACCGAAAATGAGGTGGAGACCAAACAGTGCAAAGATCTTCCATAGCTCGTAATGGAAAATACAATAGGAAGAATCCCAGGCATCACGTATTGACCATAGTAAAAGATATTTAAAAATATTGAAACAGGATTCACATTTATGTTGGGGCCAAATGAAGATGGAGATGATTGTACCATGGGCATTCTATTTTTGTCGGAAGCATAAGTCATTACTTTTGAATCAACTTCTTGTACTTCAAGTTCTTTTGGTTCATATAAAGCGACAGGCATGCCATCTTGACCAATAAGCCCATGAGAAACCCCTATAAGTGCGGCAAGAATCAAAAGATTCCATACTTGGAACCGTATCATGAAGCCAAAAAATGCTGTGTGATTTTTTAAGCCAATCAATTTTTAGAGGAAAATAAACTTTAAAGCAGAAATTTAACCACATCAATGCCATCTTTGGTGAAGATTTCTAAAGTTGCCGTGATTGGGGCTGGTCAAATGGGGGCAGGTATTGCCCAAGTGGTGGCTCAAAAGGCACAGCTTCCCGTTTATCTATTTGACTCCGAACCTGGAGCTTTAAAGCTGGCAATTGCATCAATTGAATCAAGATTAATTATGGACGTCGAGAAAGGGAAAACATCTACACACGAATATAGGCTTGCAAGATCTAGAATTCAACATATCGATAAATTGGAGCAGGCTTCAGATGCAGACATAATAATCGAAGCTATAAATGAAGATTTGGCGATAAAGACCAAGCTTTTCAAGCAGCTCAACTCGATCGTGAATAAAGAGGCAATTTTGGCGTCAAACACTTCCTCTATTAGTATCACTAAATTGGCATCGGTAGTTGAAAATCCAGAACGAGTATATCTTTACATTTATCATTGCTCTGTTTAGGTGATCGGAATGCACTTTATGAAACCAGGTAAGTGAATGATCTCTTATGGACCAGTCCCTGTTATGCCGTTGGTTGAGCTTGTTCGTGGATTTTCAACAAGTGATTCCACTGTTCAGAAGATTGTTTCGTTTTCAAAACTGCTGGGAAAAGCGATCGGATTTGCAAAAGATACTCCTGGCTTTCTGGTAAACAGGCTATACATGCCTTACATCAACGAGGCAGTATATGCCCTTTCAGAAGTATTTTAAAAGACATAAGATATAGGGGATAGCGACAAGAGATGATATTGATTTAATGATGAAGAGCGGGTGTAATCTGCCAATGGGTCCATTGGAGGTAGCAGACTTTATTGGCCTGGACACTTGTCTTTCCATTATGCAAGGTAGTTGTTATTGGGATCATCATTACTAGTGCTACATTCGCAACTTGGAGATCCTAAATATCGTCCATGCCCACTTTTAGCGCAGTATGTAGATGCGGGGCACCTGGGAAGAAAGGTTGGAAAGGGCTTTTACTTGTACAAAAATTGAGAAGACGAATAAAATGCGTGCAATGTGCCGTGCTGTGTGATATGATTTGAATTTAATGTTAACTTTGTGGCCAATTAATTTTTCGTGCCTTTACACTCGAGGGGCTTGCAAGCGGGGCGTTTTAAATTTTAGGATTCTTTATTCGCAGCATTTATCGTGCAACTCAAATGCACAAAATAAGATGAGAAAGGGAAATTAAAGCCACCACCACTATAGACGGAGCAATTGGAAACGACCAGGATTCATCTGAGGCAGTGGTGGTGCGAGAAAGCGATCTATTGATGGAAAGCGACGTTGAATTTTGGAAAGTCGATGCTGATGTGATAGATCTATGCGTTTGTGCAGATGTAGATGTAGCTGTTATAAATGTGGTGGGGGTCTGCTCAAATGATGTCGGTATTGAGTCTGTAGTTGCTTGGGTGGCTGGGCTTGAAGATGTGGGAATTGATTGAATATTGGAGGAAACCACGCCGCTAGTTGGTACCATACTGGAAAATGGCACTGGAACTATTGTACTGATTGCAGATGAGGGAAAAGAGGTATCAGTGGAAGCAAAAGATGTGCTAACGATGATAAAAGAGGTCAAAGCAGAGGTACTGGCTGGGACGGTGTTAGTAATGGGAAAAGAAGTAATAATCTCAGCAGAGGTACTAATTGGAACAGAGGTAATTGGAATAGAGGTGATCGGAACAGAGGTAATCGGAACAGAGGTAATCGGAACAGAGGTAATCGGAACAGAAGTAATCGGAGCAGAAGTAATCGGAGCAGAAGTAATCGGAACAGAAGTAATCGGAACAGAGGTAATAATGGTGACAGAAGTTTCTGGGATTGAAGATCTTGTAGACACTGGTATGATAGCTGTAGATTCTGTTCTAAATGAAGTTGGAAATATAGATGTCGCCAGCGAACTAACGGGCACAATAAATGCGCATGGCGATGCAATAATGAATAACACCAAAAGCAATGCACCTGGTGTCGAAATTTGGAGCATAATTGAACCGATGCTTGGCAAATATATAATGTCATAAGAAGACTGATGATCACATCGCTCAATGAGGAGAGTATTTTGGATTCGCTCATCAAAAGCTTCCAAAAATGGAAATCCAGATACAAACCTGCTTAAAGGAATTCTTTAATCAGAATGGTACTGTAAACAAAAAGGAGCATGCCTTTGTGCCTTTTTTATCGCACTATAGATGCTTCGAAGTCTGATCTTCATATGCCTCCTCATCACTTTTGTCTTGGCTGACGACACAAACACAAGTTCAACCATGGAGATTCCGACGATCTCTCCTACAATTGACCCATCAGGCATGACAGTGATAAATGTTACATCCGTTGTGCCCACAGCAACTGTTGAAGTTCCGGCAACAACTACCATCCAATGCGACACCAACATTGATCCTGTGTGTATTCCCCTTGTCACCGTGGAGACAAGTACAACTTCGATTTTCGGATCTACGTTCTACACAAATGTATCTACGGCGTTGGAAAGTTTGATGAATTCGATTGTAAATGGGACCGGGCCAGAAAGCAGCACTAGTAGCCTTAAGGAAAGGCTTTCAACACAAATCGTAGCCACAATTTTAAGTGTCAGTATAGCATTAGCGATTCTCGTAATTTGAATGTTGCTGAATAAAAGGACTTTAAAATTTAAATTTAGCTGATTGCAACTTCAATGGTGCTGGAATCAGGAATGCTCAAATCAGATAAATACATCATTGAAGCGGTACGCTTTTGCAAAGATACCTGTGATAAAACCTAAAGAGAAGCTTGTGGAAAATACCTCCGATTCCTTTCTAACCATGAGATGCGATATTTTCACTGAGCTTGTTGTCGCGGAGCCTGTTAACATTGAGCAGATGATGCCTAGCAAATGATAGAGTCGAAGAGATCCTAAAATAAGAAAAAAAGATACTTGGAATCGGTGGCAGCGCAATTTCTTTATGGAAAAGATTTGAGGCCACTTTGAGGTCTAAAATGTAAGCATGTGGCGTCATACTTTGGATGTATCTTGAACAAACAAGTGCCACTGGAGAAACAAAACCAGAGTCAAAGCCAAATTCTAACGTTAGAGAACAAACAAACACACACTGTTTTTTAAAACATCAAGTCTGGGATGATTTCTTTTGGCATCTTCATGCGCAAAGTAGTGTACATATCTTTCTTCGCATGTTCTTCGATGCTCATCATCAATAAAGCTGCCGTTCAAATATTTCAATTGCGGTAAAGTTGCAACTATTCGATGTTCAAATGGAAACCCGGCTTCTGCACTTGGGTAATTGATATATACAGAAAAAAGCCTGGAAAGTTTACAAAACGAGCCGATGACATGCCAAAAATATTCCACTTTGTCTTGGGCATTGTCATCTTCAAGTAAAACGCAATTTTTAACAAAAATCTTTTCAACCTCATGATCTGAAGGAAGGTTGTTAATGTTACAAGTAAGCGACAATTCGTTATCGTTGATATTGATCACTTTACATCTATGTAGTTAGCAGCATAAGCAATATAAACCGACATACTTTGAAAATGTTCTCAATACCTTCTCTAAAGAGGAAATCCGGTTTGATTCAAGAATAATCGAATGGGCTCGTATGTCTTGAAATAAATCCAAATGGGCATCTGACACTTTGCAACATGAAAAATTCAGCTCATTGAAAAAACACGAGCGGAGACATGGAAAGATTTGCAAAAAGTTTTCGATTGGGATGGAAATGATGGCCAGTGCATTTACAGAGATCGGTATTTTCCATAAACGGCTTAAAGCATGAGAACAAGATACGCTCCTAACATGTCACAAAATGGGACCTACTCGATTGAGATGCGCGAGAGGCTGGGAAACAAATGGCAACAGAAGCGGAACGCCTCATCTAATGGCAACGCAGTGCAATGTTGAATGTATATTTCTTGGATATTTGGAAGCGGACACATATTCGAGTTCTCTGGAAAGGCAGTAGTGGTGTGTGCACATTGATCAATAGAAATTATCTTTACTTTTGAAAAAAGAAGATGCTCATATTTATCAACGGCACATTCCCACAATGAAGCCATAAGATGCCGTAAAATTTAAAATTCAAACTCGATTATTTCAGTGTGTGACTAGTGAGGGGGTCTTGCTTTTAATCAAGTAAAGTTTAGAGCCAAATTAAAGTGCAGACAAAATACAATGTATTGCGAAAATATATTGATTGCTAAATTCATTGGGGAGGGGTTTGCTACAGCTGCAGGGTTAGGCATGATATCCCGAGATGACCTCTGTATATTTTTCATACAATGCAGGATTGCTAGTTTGAACGCCCCGCGGCTCTTCACAAAAGCAGACAATCGAAGTATTGATGCCAGATCTAATCATCTCTGCCAACATTGCATATGAAAGCAGAAACTCCAATGCAGTGATGAATATGTAAATTTCAGCTGCAGATTGCGTGAGCTTGTAAAGGACAATGGAGACCAGAAATTTTCCATATAAAGACCCACCAACAGTAACGGCAAGCATTCCAAGGGTAAGGACCACACCTGAAAGAACATCATTTACAATTAGCTCAACACCAGAACGCCGGATCAAAGACCAGCAGTCTTTTGCTGAAGAGACGAAAGAGCGGCCATATATTGCAAGCTCAGTGTAGGCAAAAAAGTTGAAATAGGAGGCAAGATTTTCAATGCATCCCAAAATACAATCAGCAATCGCGCCGACCACAGACTTCTCGTCTTTTAGAGACCTCACCATGAATCTGATTGTTTGAATTGCAGCAACGATCAAGGACCCAAAGCAAATTGATCCAAACGATGTTGTAAGAGCGCGTTGAAGACATTTGCTGATCGGAGATGAATACTTGCCTCCAGTCAAGTAAAAACTTGCAAATACACCGGAAATGGTGACGTGTAATACATTCATCAACACCTGGCAAGTCCAAAACAGGGAAAGAGTGCTAAAAGAAAAACACATCATTAAAAGACCGGGACTGAGCACTTTTTGCGATGCGGCTCCGGCTATCAAGACGAACGTGAACAGAGCGAAAGACGCATATATGAACTGCAAAATAAGCTGGAAAATCGATACAAAGACCATGGTGGGATAAAACTCTAAAATTCTGAGAGTAGTTTTAAGTACAAGAGCGGTGAGCGGAATTTTATGCCGCGCTCGCCAAAAGAACAAACTGTTGATAAGAAACATAATTCCGAGCAAGATAGAAGGCAGGATTGCAGTTCATAT